TCATCCTAATTTACTTGTTTCTCCTCTCATTATCATCCTAATTTACTTGTATATATATATATGTATGAAGGTAATATTTTACAGATTGATTAAAAAGGAATCTAATGACTCATGCTCCTGCTAAAGAAGTTTAACCCTCACACGTGAACACAAAGGATATTTAATGAAAAATTCAATTTTGGTGTTTTTTTTTCAAAATGGGTTTATTTTTCTTAAATGTACGGTTTGTATGGATTTTTTTCCAAAAAAATGTACGAATCGTACGGATTGTATGGATTTTCCCCCAAAAATTTTACGGATTGTACGGATTTGTTCTGAAAATGTACGGATTATTCAAAAAAGTTTTGGCCACCCTTGAACTGTGAGTGTCTTACTTTGCTTATACTTTCATTTCCTGTTATGGTGCTGTTCAGTGTACAGTGCACTAATTTTTTTTTTGTATTTAATATGACATCGACAACAACACTTTTTGTCATTTAAAAAAATATATATGCTGCAGAGGCAAATAAAGTGTAATAATTTATTGTATAAATTCATTAATGTGGAAGAATTATCCTGAATCAGAAGTCAGAATTCCGGAATTGACATCTTAGTCTGAAAAGAATTTATCTATTATTTCTTCTTTTTTGCTTCACAAACAAAAAACTATGAATTTCCAATTTCCCTTCGAATTCCTAAACAAAATGGCCGCTTGTCCACACATAGAAAAATGCGCGAGATTAGAAATTAATTAATTTTGGCGGAAGGAATGATGCAACAGTACTTTGTATTAAAGAAAGCATCATCAATCCTAGCAGGGTAGAATTCAACATTTTGTTTTTTCAATCCAACTAATTATTCATAAATCTGCTTTAAATGCTTCCAATTAAAATATTTGTTTAAAAGCCTTTATGAGACGGGAGGGAGGTCATGGGACAAAGGGGGGGGGGATAAATAGGTTATTCCTAGGTATAACCTTGAATTTTTTAATGTATTCCAAATTGCACTACAACAAATACTGTAATGTAATATAAAATGGCTGTTAAGTGCATTGTATTAAGTGAAATTTAAAGTCTACTGAAAGTTTACTGTAAAGTTTACAATTAAATTTACATTGAAGTTTACTTTAAAAACTGTAAACTTTACTGTAAAGTGTACAGCAAAGTGTACTGCAAAATGTACTGCAAAGTGTACTGGTAAAGTTTTCATATTTTAGAAGTATGGTACTTGGAGCTAAAGTAAAGGTAGAGATCTATCTAACTCCTGATAAACAATGGCAGATATCTACCGAGACAGCAATCAAGGTTGAAGAATTTTATCTAATACTAGCTTAATACCCAGCCTTTCCTGGAAACTACATTTTTCATATAAAATTTTAAAATTTAACCATTTCAACCTAACATGTTTATTCTGGATCAAAATTTAGGCAAATTGGTCCAAGGGTTCATGAGTTATGATCGGACATCCAAAAAAACAGACAGACAGACAGACGGACAAAAGGAAATTATTGGCCCAGCAGAGATGAGAGGGTTGACTATTGGTTGTTTACTTTTTATAGCTCAGGAACTAGATTTATTGTAAACAATAACAAATATTGTATAGAAGACGCTAAGTATTACTATTACTTATGGTATAAGTATTATTATTTATTGGCTTTTTCCAAGAACTGCACTTATCTTTACATAAATAAAGGATGATTCTAAAAAACCACACAAAATGCAAATTTTATTTATTGGGGCTAAAAACGGTGAATTCAAAGATTAAAAATATACCAATCTAAAGGTTTGTACATGACCTTTAAGTTTTTATATCACCCTTTAGTCTCTTATATCAATCGGACTCCCATATTTATCTAAAACGAATTGTTGTCATAGAATAAAAGCAAGTAAACGTAAACAATATCAAATTTTTTTGTAACTTTTTTTCAGGATTAATTAATCACGTTTTTTTAAAATTTGCTGATCATTTAATACTTTCTCAAGCAGCCATATCCTTAAGAATACTCAGCCAAACATTTGCGAATTAAGCGATGAGTAGAAAATCTCTTTTTCAGCCTTTAAGGATATTTCAGCTCCGTAGAATGCAGCTCCATCATCCTAGGGCACTATTTCGATTTAAGTTTGTTCATCTGTATTTTTTGTTGTGTCGGCCCATTACTTAATCTTTATATGCCTTGAATTTAGACTTTTTAAAATGTATTCCATGTTTTTGATTATCAAATTAACCACCCAATTAATCTTTCTTTTTGAAGTTATTGGTTTTCATTACCCTTTATAATTTCTCCAGCACTAGCTTATTTAGTATTTTGGATACCAACCTTGATCTGTCTTTTCAAGATGGGTTTAGAGTTTTGTCATTATTTTTTCCATCAATTAGTCTGATGGATCCTGTTCTCTTAACATTTATTGAGTTTTTGGCCATCTTCTATCTTCTTTTGTCGGTTAATTGTGAGTTTTACCTTCTTGTGTGTTTTATTAGAATCTCCTNAAAATTAAGTCTAAAAAATTGAAATTGTGTTTTCACTATTTACTTTATTTCATTGTAATTCTTCATCATATATTTTTCCAAATAAAGAAAACATTATTATTTTTTGTTACTTCCTAAACTTTGTTGCTTATGCAACATGTTTAAAGGGTTTGAAATGTATTAAAAAGCGTAATTTTGATAAATTGAACTTTTTTAAATTTTGATGACATTTCATTTTTTTTACGTCAGGCCAAATCTGTGAAAGGTTACGCAACCTATAACCGCAAACTGACGCAGAACAAGTTTAAGGTTAGTCTCATAGAGAAATAAAAACGAACAGTTAAAGCGTGTTTTATAATTCTCTCAATTGAATTCATATTTGTCAAATCTATAAAATGTTTTTCTTTGATATGTTACTGCGAAATTTAACTAAGGAATTTAATTCAATATAATTCAATTAATAAATGCAGAGTGTCCCTTTAATTCATGAATGCAAAGTTTCCCTTTAATTCATGAATGCAAAGTGTTCCTTTAATTCATAAATGCAAAGTGTTCCTTTAATTTATAAATGCAAAGTGTCCCTTTAATTCATGAATGCAAAGTGTTCCTTTAATTCATGAATGCAAAGTGTTCCCTTAATTCATGAATGCAAAGTGTCCCTTTAATTCATGAATACAAAGTGTTTCTTTACTTCATGAAAGCAAAGTGTTCCTTTAATTCATAAATGCAAAGTGTCCCTTTAATTCATAAATGCAAAGTATTCCTTTAATTCATGAATGCAAAGTGTTCCTTTAATTCATGGATGCAAAGTGTTCCTTTAATTCATGAATGCAAAGTGTCCCTTTAATTCATGAATGCAAAGTGTTCCTTTAATTCATGATTGCAAAGTGTCCCTTTAATTCAGAAATGCAAAGTGTTCTTTTATTTCAGGAATGCGAGGGGAAGCCTGAACTTCTGGATGATTGGGATCAACGCTTTGTTGTTACAACTCTTATCAGGTAATGAATCAATAAATCGATTAATCATTCAATCAATCAATAAGGTTTATAATTTATTTAATTAACTACAAATAAATAATCAATGTTCAGAAACACTGTGCAGATTCTACCGTTGTTTTTGAGATTGACAGGAAGCACATACAACCAAACCAAACCAAATCAAACCAAACCAAACCAAACCAAACCAAAACAAACCAAACCAAAAAAAACCAAACCAAAACAAAACTAAACAAAACTAAACAAAAATTTGCTAAGGAAATAATTGTTCTTTTCAAACTCTAATGGTTTAATCCCTATATCTTTGTTGCCTGATATCGTAGATCTGCAATATTTCAAGCTATGAATTCTACTGGGAAAAAGTTTAATTTTGAAAAATCAAAGTTCTGGGTTGCAAAGATAAAGAGTTTATCGAATAGAGTTAACTCGAGTCATTTTTATTTAAAAATTCGAATAAGATTTTTTTTGGAATACTCAGCAATATACAGATTTAGATAAAATCTGCTTTCATTTTGTTTTATGTGGGTTTGAGTGTAGGGCAAACCCCGCTGAGTTAACTATTACCTATACTGTTGGAGATATAATAGGTAATTGATATAATTTTAGCTTAGCTTTAAATATAACACAATTCCTTTCGATTAGAATACATGATTTATAAATCCTTTATGAAGGGTCACTTTGAATTTTATGTAATTAAAAGTGCGCTTACAGTCTCTTTAAGATTTCGTAAAAGTTCTAGTAATTTCTACAGGTTTTTAAGGGATAATACGTTTATATATATATATATATATATATATATATATATATATATTTATAGTGTAATTTCTTTATTTATTGGATATAAATGAATAAATTACACTTTCATTCGCATTCTTAATTAAACACACCTTGTATATATATGAAAAATGCACTGGAATAAGTAATTAATTCATTGATTGATTCACTGATAAACGTGCCATACAATTTCCTCTTTTAAAACATTTTTTTCTTTATTAAACTTTAATTATTAAATTTAAGTTTCCTTTTCATGAAGAACCCCCCCCCCAGGCCCTACATTTTTCCCATTTCTCTAACTAACTTGTCAAGTTTTCTAATTTATTCTAATAAGGACAAGATTTAGATTAAATTTAATAAAATCATGTTTATTTTCTTTAAGCTGCGCTAATTTGTGTCAAACTGTTCAATTTTCACCTAATTAAACATCAAAGTTTCGATCATAACTTAATTCAATAAAGTTTTTTAAAAAATATTCCGAAAACTTTGTGACCAAATTACACAAATAAACTTTACTGGATTTATAATGGAAAATGGTTTAACCTNCTCTCTAAATACTACTTTAAAACTTTAGATTTTTAAGAAAAAGAGCTAGTTAAGAACATGTCTGTTGGTTAATGAGTACATCTATGCTTAGAAGCCTTTTAATCTGTTATGGACAAATTTTAAATAGCCCTTCAGTCATACATTTGTAAAGCCCTCAAGCAAAGAATATAATTATATATATCACATATAAATATCTGCCAAAAAACTAATTCATTTACATATTTTTACACCTTTTTTGGCACAATTTTGATTGCCTCCATGCTTCACAATTTCCACAAAATTAACTTCATAATCGTGATATTTTCAAAAACTTGTGAAAATTGGAAAATTTCCAGGAACCGAACCTCCATACTTCCACTTAAACCCCTTTTTAGAAGGAGGTGGTGCACAATGGGGTATTTTAGAGGGTCATGGGGGGTGACTGGTTTTTTTTCACAATACTTCTCTTAACATGCATTTGTCTTGTGTTTCATGTTGAGAATAGACAAAATGAATATATTCATTTACAAACATTGTATGAATAGTAACTTGAATTGATTTATAATGATTTCAATTTATAATTACTTTTCCCGTTCATATATTTAACCTTAAATGGATCCTGTAAATTCGCAATATATTTAGATGTCGTCTTTGTTACAGCGAGCTTTTTGGAATGAAAAACATATATTTCATAGCAAAAGCACATAAAAGCACAGGGGGTTCGGGATAATCCAAATATATTAAAAGATTCTAACAGCCATATTTAGATTTAGGTCCTCCGGCAGCACCCCAAAACCTGAATGTAGTCAGAGTAGCGTGTTGAAAAAAAGTTCTCAATTTAATAGCGGGATTTTGGTCGAAATTCTCACTAAGAAATAACATTTAAACCACTTAGAGACTTCTCTAAAAAAAGTTCTAAGCGGCCAAGCCTTATTTGACATAAATAAGAGAATTTATGGAATAAAATAATTTTGACTGACCCCCCATAATACCTCACTGTGAGGAGGGAGGGTACAGATTCAAACAGAAGCGGTTTTTATGCTTTAATTGACGAGTCATCAAAAATTATAGTACAGAAAAAAAGAAGGAAAATAGCTAAAATACCCAAAATCAATACATCATACATTAAGTTTATTATTTACTTTTCAATAAATCTATACTTTTAGCCTGGAGGAAGTTTGAAAGGGTTCCCCCAAAATCCACCGGAGGAAGACGACATAGTATTGTTTAAATTCAAAAATGGCGGCAAATTTTGAATTCAAAACAAACACGTGACATCATGAAATGCACAATAAGAATAGAAATATATTATTTACTTTATAGTTCTATGTTTTCTATAACAATTTTTAAAGTATTTTAAATGAATCAGACTAGTATTATTTAATTTGCAACTAAGAAAATCATTATGAGTGAAACAAATGTTTAAAATGTCACGCCAAAAATGTTTAGTGAGCTAAAATAAGTCAATAATTGCTTTTGTCAAAATTTGATAATGTACATATTTATTTATAGATTAATGTTTAAATACCCACCCTATTCTTTTAAATGACATTTGTAATTTTGTTTGATCATGAATAACAGTTAAATAATGATGAACCATGATCATGTTCAAGCCAGTGTAGTTTGATTGTTTTAAGCAGCAACCTGGTTCTTATCCTGCTTTAAAATGTATTTTACATATTTTTGTGCAGCTTTTGGTGTAATCCAGATGTTCAAATTTGTATAAAGATTGACAATGTACAATGCACACTGAAAAATAACAAAGATTATGTATCTATCTAAATTTTATTTCATATGCGGTAAAAAATATATATTTGCAAATAAAATTTTTTTATATTCTCATATCTGGTATAGAGCAAAATGAGAGTTGTGGAAGTGGAAGTAAACATCTTTTTTAATTCAAAATAAGTGTTTTTTCTTTTTAACCTTAAGAATTTACGAAGACTTTACCTTATCTTATTTCTCCATTTCAACTTATCAAATAAAACCTGAATCATTTTTTCCTTTTTCTCTGTTAATTTTACTAAAGTTAGTTAAGCTTATTAGAAGTAAAGATATTCCTAATTATGAAAGTATTTAATTAGAAGTAGTTAAACTGTTATACTTCAACAGTTCACAATTTACACAAAAGCGATTCTACCATATGGGCAATAATCAGTTTCCAAAATTATAAACATTGATATCTAATTGATACTTGATCAGACTAAGCCTTTACTGGTAATGTTGAGAATCAGACATTGCCATCTTTGCGTGGAGGCCCAGTCACTTAACTTTCCAGTCCCTTGAAGCATAACAAAATGTTGTTCCTACTTAAAACGCCTTATAAAAAAACTGTTTTCCAAAAAACATTTATTAATTTTTAATCACCACACTTTACATTTCTTTACAGGGTTCATTGGAGACCTTGATGGACAATTCCAATCTCTTGAGAACTCTTTCAAATTTCTGAGAGATCCGTTTACTCGAAACCTGTTAAAATTTAATCTTTGTTATAGATGAATTTAGATGTACATTGGTAGAAGTTCATTTCAATTTTTCTTAATAAATATCAATATATTTTCACTGCCTGCCCTCTGTCAAAAACTATTTGAGGTTTTACAGTAAGAACAGCCCATCCCACTCCACATGTTTCCATATTTGCCACGCAGATCCGACCAATTTAGCTTGAAAGAAAGGTATGATCTGAATAAGCCCCACCTATGAAGAGGATAGGATCAAGTGACCTCCACACATTTCTGTTTTTTAACATCTACGCCAATTTATCATTCAAACTATCCTTGGTCTTTCTGATAGTTTAGGTAGGGTTAAGAGTACAATTACAGAGAGTTTCTCATTGAGGATACCTCATTGGGGAATGATAATCAGTAAGAACATAGTTTTTTAACTTCTCTTCCCGCATAACTGTGCACCAGGGGGCTGCTCCTGAGATCCAGAACAGCTGACGAGGAGTATAGGGTAAACCAGGTAAGGAGGGTTCCTCCCCTTCCCTTTTTACCAAGCGCATATATGCTCTTAACAAAATGTTTTTCCAATTAACTAAATTGATCAAAGTTTGGATTGTAAGTTTTTTTTTTTTTTTTTGGAAACTACAAATCAGGCAGAACAAACAAAATCAACTTCTATCAAATGAAAGGTAATGGAATTTCTAAAGTTCATGGAAAAAAGTTGAATTTTCAATAAAAAAATTGATTTGGGATGGAAAAAAGACAATATTAAAGATTAAATTGTTCCACCTGTATGCCTCCTTAAACCCTCCATTATCTGCAACATTCTCTCCTTGTGTGTTTATTCCATTTAGATTCATGACTTTGCCACCAACATTAACCGTATAGTTTCCATATTGGTCTAAATATTGATCCTGTTATTTGAATGTTATTGATGCTGCAGAAAACAAAAATTTATAAAAGTTGATGAAAACATTTACAAAACTTGACTGAATGTATATTTATTAATTATAACAATTATAAATTAACATTTACTCTATGGACCTGTCTTTTGCATTATTTAAATTATAGATGAAAAGTATTTTGAAAAAAGTACTAACATCCCTTTCAAGCATCCAGACTTACTATTTAACTACATTTGCAAGATTTGCAATATCAATTAATTTAATTTCAATTTAATTAGATAAGCTTCTCTCTCAAATGTCAACATAAATATTCAATTTTTTAAAAATAATTAGAAATTATGACATTCATGACATATTCATAAGATATGAGACCAATAATAATATATCTTTTAGCATAAAAGCTTATCTGCATATTTAAAAAATCCATAAACTGTTACCAATAATGCATTGGGCTCTCTTAAGGTATTTTTTCTTAGTCTCTGGTTCCCACCAGTTAACAAGGTTTCCATCACCATCCTTTTGACTACCCTGGTCATCAAACCCATGTGTGATCTCATGTCCAACTACCATACCAATAGCACCATAATTCATATATTTGGGGCGGTCATCCTAAATCATGAATAGATAGTATGCAGGGCTCAAACTAAATGCGCTGTTGTTCTGAATGTTTTTCAAATCCCGCAAAAACATACAAACTATGTGGATTCAATCAATGTAATTTTTGCATCATGGTGCAAGTTTACGCAGATCTACCACAGATTGTGTTTACTGAGGATGAGTGGTCATGCGCCAGAGGCTGCTGAAATCCTCAAAGGTTCTGAACAAGCTCAAGGCAAGCACCCCAAGGAGAAAAGCATAATCTGGTTATTCTCAGCTGTTAGTTTATTTTGTTTTCCTAGCTATTAGTTAGCTTATGGCGATTTTACACTTGTATGCCGATTCCATTCGCGCCTGATCCAATCAGTGTTCAGTCATGTGTTTGATGTCTATTCTGCATGGAGGTAACATCTATCTTTCTTTCTATCTAATCATCCAATTAGAGATAAATCCTTAAATCGGCACAAAACAGTAAATGGAAATAATCACTTCTACTTAAACTACATTAAGGACTAAATATTTAGTCTTTCATGTCAGTAGTTTCTCTTTAATGCCAGAAGTTTGTCTGCATATAAAATTTTCATTTATTTGATTAAACAATTTTAAACCTCCTTTACTTGTAAAAAAAGTGATAAATCAAATTAAATATCGATGTATTATTTTAGGAAAAGGATGACTGAGGAGACACCCTTGGCCGGCCATTTCTTTGATCACTGATATTAAGGACTTTAGTCGCCATTTTTGAGTGTGGTCTGAAGATTTAGATAAAATACCTGAAAATAAACGCCATCTAGTATGCCTGCCGGGAATTTTATGCTGTTTTCTTGAGAATCATAAAATGCATTTACAATAGCAGCTCCTCCATGTTCCTCCCAGCTGATAATATATTTATTATTCAAGATAGGAAATTTCTTTTGAGATCAACACTCAAAGCTTAGGCTTCTCAAAACAAATAAAAAGCACTAAAAGGCCCAAATATAATCGAGTAATAATAGTCTCACCAGAAATCTGAAAACCGGATTACATTTGTTTGCAACTTATTTGGTCGCATCAATCATTACATTAATAGACTTTGTTAACAAACCATTTATTGGTGACTTTGTTTAAAACTTGTAAGGTTAGGAGACTAAAAGTAGATTAGTAAAGTTATAAATAAAATTTTTGGCATCAACCTGTTACATTATATCTAATGAATATAGCTTATATATATATAAGATTTTTTCAAGGCTTTTATGGATAACAAACCTGCGAGGATCAATAATGTTCCTAAACTGCTTTGCATAGTACTTCTTAATAAAGTTCATATGAGTCAGATGGTTTACCAGAAAACTATCTGAAGACATCTCCAATCCTGGTATATTTTCATATTTTTAGTTTTTTGTAGAGTGACAGATAAAATAAATATCTAAAGAAATTGCAAAGCTAGAGAAACTGATTTAGTTAAAAGCTAAACATAGGTAAAGCAGATTGTGAATGCATAGTTTACCATATTAATGTCATTAACAACAATTACAGTTGGGGTACGTACTGCAGAACTGTTCTGAGGAAATTTTTGACTAAGTTTAACCTTTTATTATTTGTGATGTAAGATATTTTAATCATTAAACATAACCCACTGCTAGGGCTGGGCAATTTCCAACTTTTTAAAAATTGTTCCGTTCAATTCTAGAACCAGGGCCTAGCTAGATTGTTTTATCCTTGTTAGTTCTTTTTCCAATTGTTCCATCTACTTTCCATTCTGTTCCATTCTGTTCTTGGTGTTCTTAGTCAAGAATGGTCCGTCCCGTTCTGTTTTCTTTGTGTTTTTAGTCGAGAACGGTTCCAACCCCAATTGCCTTCCCTTCTTTGTTGAGAACGGTTCGATCCTCGTTCTGTTCTTTATTCCACTGCACGCTGAGATTATATTTATCGTACTGTGGACGACTTAGAATACAATTTGAATGTCAATTCTCTATTCACAAAGAAATATTGCACACTGTTGTTAGCTATGAAATTGAAATAAACGAGAAAAGATGAAACCTTTCTACATCTTAATGCAAAATCCAGAACAATTTAGAGCAAAGTTTAGAATTGTATGAATTTTGTTTATAAATCATGCTCTGTGCATCAGATTGGAAAGGTTATCCAGGCCTAAGTCATATATGTTTTGAGGTAGTTCTAAATCTAATCTCTTATGTCACAGTAGAATGTAAGCAAAGCCTAACTTTCTATGTGAAGCACTAATTCTCCTTGACTTCTTCACTGAGATAAATTTATTTACCTTTATAAAACTCATTGATGAGGTTGTTATCTAAGATCTCCTTGGCATATCCAATGTGAGGTGTCATCTTGTCCACCTTGACTTGGGCCTTCTTTCTTGTAATATCATCCATCCAATCAAGCTCATCCAACAATATCTTAAACTCTTTCCTTAACAAGAACTGGTATACTTGGATTTGTCCAAAAACAACATCAATTTGTTTTCAAGATAGATTTGTCATGAAAATCATTGGTGAAATTCTAAGTGCAAGAAGAAGTTTGGCGTGCCTGTTAGTCCAATAGGCTTAAACCTTGAGCTTCATTGTACTTACAGCCAGCCGATCTAAAGAGACCAATATCTCTTCATTGTACTTACAGCCAGCCGATCTAAAGAGACCAATATCTCTTCTGATGGGGTGTCCTTAAGTATGACCAACTGGAGCATCAGTTATCCATGTTACATATTTGTATAATTGAAAATAAAGTTTAAACTGATTTCACTCTTTTTGAAGGATTGAAAAAGATTATAAAACTTCCTTTAATAGTGCAAAAACAAGACTTTTTAGCACAGTATTGCTTGCAACAAATTACATTTGACATATGCAAACTGCAAGCCAATATGGGCACAATTGTGATAAATTGTGTACACATTTTAATTATATTTTCCGATTTTTTCCAAAAATTACTACAGAAAATTATCTATTATATAGACAGAAATTTCTTATCATCTAAGCTCATGTGTTTTATTACACACCTGATATTAGTAACCATGTCATCAGCAATTTTTTTACTGCTTTCTGGAAAGTACTTCTTTGCATACATTGCACCAACTGCATTTGTTAGAGAACCTAAGAAAAAAATTAGTTTGGTGGCAAATTTAAGCATTAATAAAATTATAGATAAGTTGCACTGTTATAAAAAAATCTTGGTTTTTGCTTCATTCAGTTGTGTTTTCATGCTTATATATTCTGTTAATTCAAAATTACTCAACTCAGAGAATTAGAATTATGATGAATTCATGGAGTCTTCTGATTAAACCAAAGAACACTGTAGCCAAATTTGATAAATTTTGGCTAGGTTGCTGAACTACCAACAGTGGATTCAAATCTGAATCATCAAATCAAAGTTATAGATTCCTGAGGATTTGAATCAGGGATTCAGAATTTGAACCAGTAGTTTAGCAACCTCTTCATTTAATTGAATTTAGTCTCTTAATGTTTTAAAAGGTACTGTAAAATAATGCCCAACTCTAGTGTTTACCGTCCCATTTGTATAAAGTTGTACTCCCAATCGCTTCAAGTCCAGCTGTCACCTTTGTACAGGTTTCCCATCTACATAAAAAAAGTTGATGTCAACCAATATTTTTCATGTTTTATTTTTACCTGGGTGGTATAACTTTTTTCCCTGTAAGGAGTTTGCAATATTCTAGTTCAATATTCTGGGCAGTCTGATAAATATAATAAACCTTTATAAGAAATTTCTTATTAAGGAATAAAACAAGTTAAATTCAGATTTGTTTTCATTAAATATTTCTTTCTTGAGTATCTGTGAATAAAACTTCTGCAATCTAGATATCTCTAACTAGCTACCATCCAATCAGTGATTACTTGATTCGCTTTCAAAAATTAAAAGTTTTGTGAATTTCTTACTCTTTACTAAATCCAGGTTAAAAAAAGACTTTAATCACACTTTGTATACTAAACCTGAAATAAATGGAACTCTCTTTTCGGCCTCTTCTAAACCAAGGACTTAAAAACTTTATTTTAACTTTATAATAAACACAAGATCCAATTCCCCTGAACAACAAGATACTTCTACTAAATTAAGGAACGTTACCTTATCATTAAATAGCATCAAACTCATTAAGGCCCTCCAGACTAGATAGTTTGCTTGTACTCGGGCTCGTACTCTAGGCAAGTACTTTGCTAACTCTTTAACATATGATGGTACAGCAACATTGATCAATTCTTTAGACTTGAGTGGGGTTTCCTAAATCATATAATAATTGCATACATAGAACTATAATCAAATTAATCAAGAAAATGATTATTAATTTGTTAATTGGTATAGTTAAATGCTTTGCTTTGATATAGTAGCATTATTACTATTGGGCATGGGAAGGGCTGGGCTTCGTCATATTTACTTTCATTTTTGACGAATATTGCTGAAAATCCTTGTTTTAAACTAGGAACAATCAAAATCGTTTGGTCTCTAACAATTATCCACTAAGAATGAATGGAAGAAACGTTCTTAATCAACAGAACAGAACGGAACATAATGGAACAGGGATGGAACAATTGGAAAAAGAATGAACATACAACAAAGAATCCAGCTGAAGACGCTCGTTCTAGAACAAGGAAAAAACAATTTTAAAGAAAGAGGAACACACCCAGCCCTTGGTATGGATAGCATACTTAAATCAGATAATTTTATTGATTTTGATAAATTTCATTTAAGGTTTCAGAATAAAAAAGATTATTTTATGCATCATATAATAAATTACCAGCTCACGATACACATTGTTGATGTGCTTTGTCCAGTCAAATCCGGGATACATTTTATTTGCCTCCTTAACTGGCATCTAAAGATAAATCATTATTGAAATAAAAGATTTTAAACCTATTAGATAATGCATGGAATAACAAAAATTCTCAAGTAAAGAGCACAACTACACCAATCTTAGATGGTTTTAAGGTTTTTTATTTGTTATCTTTCATGGTTAACCCTTTCCATGGCCCTGGACTTGTTTGTCTAACTGATTACCTAATCAAAAATAACCTTATTGTTTAAAGCTGTAGAATTTCTTCTCTGTTCCTTTGGTATGCTAAGTGTGGCTAATAATATTTCAAACAACAAGGACTCCTAAATAATATTATTTAAGTTCTTATTTAGTTTAATCATTTTATAATATTTTACTTTAAGCTCTTTTTTTGCAGTTTTTCTCTTAGCCCCATAATGCACAGCAATATTCACCATGTACCTGAGATATAAAATTAAAATAATTATAACCATTGATAGTCCTCCCTACCTGTCCACTGCCCAGGGTCAATAATGGCTATTCATGTACACATTTGAAGGGAATTCTAATGTGTACAATTAACTTCTTATTTGTTTTACTCACCTGTAGTATGCTTGAACATCTTTGTCCTTAAATCCATTTTGTAAATATTCTTTGTCTAGTCCAAACTCAGGCTGATCAATTTCAAATATTCTGCAGAGTCAACTTTTTAATTTTTTCTAAGTTTGAAAAAAAATTGCTGATAATCAAAGTGGTTTATGTTTTGAAATTAAGGTTTTGATTACCATTTTTTACTATATAGAATATACATTTCCTTGTTACGAGCACTCTTAAGCATGTATGGGAAAGTATTTGCCTGAATAGATTACAATCTTCAGTTTGGCCTGAAACATCAAGAAATGGAGATAGATGTTAATATTATTTAATCATTCTCTTAATAGATGACACACCATGCAAGGATTAATAGGAAATCAGTATAAAAATTGCACTTTTCAATGTTTTACTTATTGTTGCTTTTAATATCTCATTTGTTTTTCAGTTAAACTATCATTTGTTCTAAAATTATTACCATCAAATAAGGAAGCAGAGAAAGTAGTTTTAAATTAGTCACAAAGTGGATTTAAAGAAATAATCAAGGTTACAAATAACTTTGCTTGAAAAAAGTGCAAAAAACTATTTTTTTCTTATTTGGAAAATAACAATTTATGATTGAATGTTTTATTCAAGAAAGCCCAAAGATAATTTATATTATAATTTCTGCAAAAAACAATAAGATTGTTATCAATGGAGTTGACCAAGCTGAGATTGACGATATTATTAATTTTATATGCACGACCTAATTACAGTATGATTCTGTTTCTTGTATTTGTATTCATTTTTGATATATACTCTTATAGTTCTTTTTTCTTCTGTTTAATTGTACCAATTATTTAAATTGTGTACGTTCACGAAATAAAATAAATAAATTTATATGACATATCAACAAACGTATGAAATGCAACTAAAGATAAAAAATAAATTAATAAAGTCCCTTAAGCTGCTGTTGTCATAGTCTGTGTCAACTTTGAACATCAGAATACTTCCAACAACAAGTCCCATGCGATGTGCTCTGACTGAACAAAATCATTTCAATGAACAATAAAACTTTTCCAAAGGATAATCAAATTTTAAATTTAAATAATGCCACTACTACTCTATATAATACATGTTCAAACACTACTACTCTATATAATACATGTTCAAACACTACTACTCTATACAATACATGTTCAAACACTTATACAGTGCACAATGGCAACATTAATCCCCTCATGTACAGTACTACTTGCTCTAGCTGCCAAGAGTTGGTACAAAACTTAAAATGAACATGAATTTTTAGTGTTGCAAGGCTATTTACAATCTTACCATCAAACTCATGCCATGAAAACTTCTTTTTCTCCCATTTATCTCCTTCTAGAACTGGCCAGCCTCCAAGTTTATCCACCAGCTTTAGCAAGGTCTTTTTACCTGACTTCTCTATACGATCCTGAAATTAATCTTTTACCTCAGCTTGGAAATTTTATGTTGGTTATTATTGTGCAGGATATACAATATAAAGAGTAAATAAAGCTGCAGATATCCCCAATACAACAATTTAATGAATAGGAGAAGTGGCTGAACCACATAGACTGGTTTAACCGGTGATAAGTAATTCAACCACTTCTTGCTATACATAACATCTTTTACCTAGTCCAAAATATAGACGCCTTAAACAAAATTCCACACTGATTTTTGTGTGCAAAAAATTACTTTTCATTTTTATGCAAATATCTAATAAAAATGCCACCAAATTAGCTCAATGGCCGGTCATTATTACCATTAAAACACTTTACATATAAGAGTCGCTCAAAAGTTAAGTGAAAAAGTTCTGTAAAATGTGGCAAAATTTGATTAGAATATATACCTGATCCATGCAACTATTGTAGTAATTGCGCACAGACTTGAATATTTTTGGTTCATTAGGCTCAGGGGTAGACTCAAACAGTATTCTAAACTTTTAAACAATTTTAAAACACAGAAAATAATGGGCGAATAAGTATTCATATATGATTTAAATTTTAATCATTTAATTTTTCAAATTTTTAATATCTTAACCTGAGCTGTTCATTAAGCTTATCACCAAGCATAGTAAATGTACCTATCAAAGCATATTTTCTAAAATGAAGTCATCAAATGGATCAAAAATGTCAAAAGAAATTCTGTTGTATTAACTATTATTCGAAATATTTATAGATATTCAGAATGAAAAGGCTAGTCCAAACGCTTTTGTTGGATTTACAAATTGTTGTCATTTTTTCATTGTTTTTAAAAGAGTTAACATATTTTTCATTGTTTTTATAAGAGTTAACTTTTTTCATTGTTTTGTTATAAGAGTTAACATATTTTTAATTGTTTTGTTATAAGAGTTATCATATTTTTCATTGTTTTTATAAGAGTTAACTTTTTTCATTGTTTTGTTATAAGAGTTAACATATTTTTCATTGTTCTGTTATAAGAGTTAACATATTTTTTATTGTTTTGTTATAAAAGTTAACATATTTTTCATTGTTTTGTTATAAGAGTAAACATCTTTTTCATTGTTTTTTTATAAGAGTAAACATATTTTTCATTGTTTTTTTATAAAAGTTAACATATTTTTCATTGTTTTTTATAAGAGTTAACATATTTTTCATTATTCTTCAAATTTATCCAAATAAGATATAAAACACTATTTGAAAAAAAAATACCTGTATGAGTTTGATGGTCTGGAATTATTGTCTTTTTATGAAAGTTTCCACATGCAAACTCAAAGAAGTCAGTGCAAGGATCCTTTAAAGACTAATATATATAAAAAACTTATTAATATTTACATATGTTAGCCGCACCAAATTGGGAGACTTTTTTGAGGGAACCTATGATGGTTGACATAAAATAAAAAGCTTAGCAGAAATTTGAATTTTTGAAATTCCAGGGGTAAAGCCGGGTACTTATTACTATTACAATGTAATACAGTAAAGACAATTACTTTGTGTTATAGAAAATAGATGACCCTGATGAAATCATAGAATGTAGCTTTTTTTCAAAAGCCAATTGTTTTAAAAGCCATTGTTTTAACACCAGGGCAAATTCTAGCACATCAATGTGTTCCGTCAAAAAACAGAAAAGGAGTTGCATAAACTGCCCTAATGGATCGGTACAATTTACATTGTAAACTAGGCTTATTTCACGTATCATATAAAAAATCTAATTCCCATATGTGACATAAAAAAGAACTATGCTTATAGTGAATATTTAAAAACTGTAAATTTGACAAAATTTTGAAATAGTTTTTTCTTCTTCTTTTTTATATTTTATTATATTATTTTGATTTTTATATTTTATGTATAAAGTTATAAATATATTGATTCTTAAGCTTTTAAAGACATTTAATCTGATTTAATTCCGTCTATGGTTTTTTATGAAAAAATCCGATATTTTACTTTTTTAGTCAAACCATATATTTGTTATTAAATTTTTGTTTTTTTTCCATTAAAGATTTGGATCTCCAAAAGGGTTTTAGATTTTGCAACAAAATTAAATTTTCTAATTCCTATATCTCTGCAACCTGATGGTGTACACTTTTTGATCTTGCAGAATTCTCAGATTGAAATATCAGATGTATACAACATCGGGTTTTATAGATAGAGATTAGAAACAATAATGAATGTTGACAATGTTGAAAATTGGTAAAATAAAGAATTAATGAAGTGTGTGTGCACCTACCACTTCTTTATCTATCATCTCTATAACAGTTGAAGCAGCTTTTACACAGCCAGGAGTTAAACAGATACCAGGTGTCAATACAATAAAGGGATTGTAAGCGTAATTTGCAATGATGGCAATGCCGGATTCACAACGGTACCCTTTAAAGCTTTTTCTGACCAAGTATGAATTTGATATTGATATGTTTATAATTTTGTAAATTAATTTGTTAAATAGTTGTTTCTCTACAAAAGAGACTTGCGCATTTCCACTGCAGGAAAGCATATATCTTCCACATTTTGATCATATAAAGGTTTCAGGGGTACATTTGTGAATTGGGTATTGTCATTTTTGCGTGAAATTATGCTTACAGTCTTTTAAACTTTTTCTTTGATGATGTTAACACAAATTGAAATAAAAAACAAATCTTTAATTATGATATTTTTAGGTTCCTTATAAGACTGACTTTTAGGCAGCTTGAGCAATTCTTCCATTAAACAACAAAATATTAGAAGGACAAAAGTACACCAAGGGATTTGTCCCCTTCTAGTGAGAAGAGTCCCTCTAATTATCCATGGGGGATTCCTGCACACCAGTTACACAAGCTATGGGAAAGAAAAGATACCTTTTGAAGAGCAGTTTCATTTTTAGGCTTCATTTCAGTTTCAACATTTCTTTTTAATCCATCAGCAAGGGAGGAAGCTAACATAAGGAAAAGTAAGGAGCTCATATCTGAAAGATTAATAACTATCTGAAATCATTTTATTCTAAAAATAAAAATCTTTAATCCAAAATGATTAAAAAACGTTATATTTAAGCTATATTGAAACCAAATTAATTTTTTAAATTTGAAAGAAAATTTTCATTTTGTCAACAAATGTAGACCCTTCTTTATTGTTGACAATTGTTAACAACCGTACCTCCAATAACGATCTTAAGCACCAACAATAAGCATTATCTTACAAAAATTTAAAATCACAATATCAATATAGTATGATGAAATTATAATATATTAACAGATCTAGTCAGACTGAAACTGTACACCTAATGACAAAGGACGTCATGTTGAAGATTTTACTATTTATTAGAAATCATTATTAAGTATTTTATGATTTATATAATTATAATTGAATTAAAGGAAGTGCATGCTTAATTGCCATATTAAACAAGTTTCAGAACTCCCCAAAAAAGATCAAATTAAGATCAAAATAAATAATTTCCTTCTTCAAAAGATTTCTTCAAAAGATTTTGAAAAAAATTACAGTATCATTTTATTTTACTTATCTTTATCTTTACATCTAAATCATGAATTTAGATAACATGTAATCTTTTGCTTTGTAAAATGTTGGGAAAAGGGACAAAGCACATTTTGAAAGTTAGGCCTGCTTTTTAAGATTAAAACGGCATTTTAAAGCAAAATGATTCATGGACATTGTGCATTGTAGTAGTAACACTTTCTAGTACAATTAAACAATGTTAAGTAGGCTAACCAGCTTAAAGGTTTTTAATTTTCATGTTAGGATGTTTTCGTGCTTTCATGTTTTACATGTTTCTTACCAAAATGTAGTTATGTAGTGTTACTAAATTGTTACTTTCTTTGTAATTACTAGATTGCCACTTTTTAAGTTATTAAATTGTCACTTTTATGAAGTTAACAAATTGTCACTTTTATGTAGTTTATGGTATTGCTGCCCAAAGAGAGATGCTTACCTAAAAAAAAGACATTATTTTGGGTGTTTTAAAACATTGCCAAAAAAAGCGGCTTGATTGTGTGTGATTTTTGAGGAATTGCTTCCCAAAGAGAGACACTAACTTGACTTTAACTAAATGTTTTTTTTTTCATGTTTTGCAATTGCTACAAGAAAAAAAATCATTTTTTTATTTAATGCAAACTTGTTATGTTTCTTACTTTATAATGTAAACCCCACAAGTTTGCTCGTAAAAAGATCTGCGCAATTTTTGAAGAAAAACATTTCAATTACACTTTTTAAAGAAAAATGAATGTAAATTTTATTATGAAGATTTTAATTCTAAACCTTATGATAACAAGTATATTTGCACACTTTTTTAAAAACTTTAAAATGTTCACATTGCGTGTCATAGTAAAATTAAAAGCAGGGAGTAAAAAAAACTCATTACTCCTGACTCCATTCAGAAGGATAATAATTAACACTCAAGACACTCCATCAGAGTGATGGTAATTTACACTTTAAGGGACTGTAAAGGAAAAATGAAAGGGGGTATAGGATGAAACCTGAGAATCTCAGGTGTTAAACGATGCATATAAAACATTTATCTGATGTTCCTGTTGCAAACAATTGATATAAAACTGTGTCATTATATCTTCTTCATTAATAGGGTAATGTTACACTGTAGCATCAATGAGTTTATTTGTGGTTACAGAGAAACATCTCTCTTCAATCTCATCCTCCCAAGTTTCTTGGATTTTTTGTCTCATAAAAAATACTGCATTGGACCTACCATTCTTAGCTCCTTTATCCGGCTTTGTAAATGATTAATGGGGTCCAGCAAATATAACCCTGGAACCATAAACATCTTTAAATGGACTGATATACACAGCCATCCCAGATGGGAGTATCTTGATCAACACAGGGTCTAGGTTTGTATTCTTGATCCCTAGTAATAAATGAACTCTAGAACCACCAACATGTTTAGGCAAGATCAACTTCTTTTCCTCATCATCAGCTTGAGATCGATACTCTTCACATATATTGGAAAGATCATATGACCCAAATCCTGTAGTTACATCATCCATACCACCACATACTACTCTCCCTTATCTCCAGGTCCCAAATTAAATCTGAACATTCCATGTTAGGATTTGACACTATTCCCCCCCCCCCTCCCCCTAACACATTTAGACTGGTAGGAGTACTAGACACTCTCTGTAATCCTTTTTTTTTCAGCCAGGCTTCCATCAATACTGTGGATATTTGAACCACGATCAAAGAATGTTAACGCCTCAGACTGGCCTATCTTACAGTTTGCATAAGATAACATGAATGTTCAAGCACTTCAGTAACAATTCAGCATAAGAATCTGATTTATTGATCAGCTTGCTCTTAATCTACTATGATAAATGACAATTATACAAAATATTGGCTTTCTGAATAGATTTGCCCCAACCCAGGTAAGCTATTTCTGGACTCTAAAAATTTGTAAACTGTAACCTTGGTATTATCTGAAAATATACCCACATCTGCAGTATCACCTTTGGATGTATTAATACTGTGTATCTCCGCCTTCTATATATAAATTTGGCTTGTCTGTTTGTTTGTTTGTTTGTATCCAATAAACGTCAAAACGGCTGAACTGATCGGGCCCAAATTTTTTGTGGGACATCACGTGACCACAGGGAAGGTTTATGAATGATCAAAATTTCAAATATTTGTCTCCATCAAAATTCGATCTTCATTAAATTTTTGAAAATTTTGAAAATCCACGAAATTTTTTGTGAAAATCCGCTAATTATTTTTGTTTTGTTTTACGATGTACACAAAGAGAACATGTTCACAATTAATTTAGAAGATGGGCGCAAAGCGCCCTATAAGGCTAGTATTATATAATTCTTCAATTCTCAAAAACCAATTATCAGCATTTAAATTCGAAAATTTATTCATCAAAAAGGCTTCAGGCAGGTTAAGAGTACTACTCAATACATCCCATTCTCCCTCAGACATAGATCTCTTTATCCCCACCCCCTGCCTATCAGGTTGTCCAGTAGACATCATATCTCAAGGTTTTGATCTGATCTCAGGCCCCAAAGATATTTAGATTGAATGTTTTGCAGTAAAAAACCACATATCTTGACTATCTGACTAATTGCGTCTGGTTTCTGTTAGGTTGATCAGAAGGCTGTCCGTTCCCTCTATTGCTCATGATTACGAAAGTATAAGCTCACAGGATTTATTTAGGAACAGGATCTTCAATTTTAAAACATGTAGGTCTTAGATTGAGACATATATAAAATACTAAAACTATAAGGCAACTCCGGCTTAACAAATAAACATCTTATACCAAAATGTAGTCCTACAGAATTTCAGCAGTAAACAAAATGCATAATTTTGAAAGAAATCACTTTTTAACCAAGTAAAAATCCACAATGACACAGATAAACAGACTACATATTGTTCAACCAAAAAAGGCTTTCAGCTAAAAGGTATCTGATGCTAGCACGAGATTCTCCTTGTCTATACTATAAACTGGTTTTTCACGCGGATTTGACTGTGTACTTCTCAGAACAGTTCACACAGTACACTCTGTCTTCAAGGGTTGAACATATCCAGACCGGGGATTTGGGGGCTCACATATATATCAGAGGACATGATAACTTTGATCGCCTAACAGTAAGTTTCTACATTTGATTTAAAACTGGAATTCAATACTTGTGCACATTTTTCCCCACAATTGACACGAATTACTCAGATTAGTGATTAACTGTAGGAATGTATTTTCAAAATGTAAAAAAAAGACAACAACATTTTTCCCGAATTTTTCTCTTTTTTTTGAAAAAATAAATGTTTCCCTGATTTTAAGTAAAAAATGGGCTTGTATTTTGTTGGGTAATATCCTTCCTGATTTTTTTTGATGAATCAGTTTTTTTTTTAATTTTTTCATTATTTTGTTTTCCGCCATTATTCCCTTGGAAATTGAATTTGAGGTCCTATCTTCATTTTGGAAGTTTTTCTGTTCAGTGTTCAAACTTTGGATTCAGATCATAATTGTGATTAACTTTCTGAACTGAAAATAATACATTTTTTTTAATGATTTCTTTGTTTAAAAAATTTTTGCGCATCAAAAATCATTATAGCAAGAAAAAAATTATTTAAATGTCATTATTGCACCAAATAAAAAAGAAATGTTTATACCATCAAAAACAAAATCAGTAAAAACGGGGGTTACATCTTTATACATTTTATAGGGAAACTGGAATATTGGTTTAGGTCTGGAATATGTTATGAAACCCATAAAAATCCTAAATTTGCATTATTGGCGAATATTTGGATTTTTTAATTCTCCATTTTTTTGCTTTGTTAGAGTTCCCAGTGAATGAAAACTTTCACAAAAAAACGTGAAAAAATACGAAAGTATTCGTTAGCATTTTGCAAACTTTTTAGGGAAATTTTGCAATTATTTTTTTGTTTTTTTCCAAAAATGTTTGCATTTGTTATTTCGTCAAATTTTCGCATTTTTTTGGCGAAACAGATTCTAGCAAAATTTCCTAAAAAAATGTTGTCAATTTTTGCAAGCAAACAAAATGCGAAAAAGTGCAAAATTTTTGCTAATCAATTTTCCATTTTCGCTGGAAACCCTAGCATTGCTGCTTAAAGAAATACACTGACCTAAAAAAAGTTGCCTGATTTGTTGCCCTTTTAAGGCATTAGTGTAGTGCGCAAAAAAAGACCCTTGTCTAAAATATGGCCTGATTTTTGGTGGTTTTTAGGCATTGTAGCACAAATAGAGCTGCTTACCTAAATAGTTGCCTGATCTTTGGTAATTTTTTAGATTAGCTGCCTGAATAGAGACACATACCAAAAAATGGCCTGATTTTTGGTGGGTTTTCAAGGACTTGCTGCAAAATAGACACATACCTAAAAAAAGTGGCCTAATTTTGGATGGTTTTTTAGGTATTTCCACCCAAAAGCTTACCTTAAAAATTTACCTGATTTTAGGTGAATTTTAAATATGGCTGCCCGAAAATGGGCGCATTTTCTTTTTTCCAATTTCATTAGTTCATCATTAAACAATCCCATTTTGTTTATTTTCTATCTATTTAGTTTGTTTTTAACTGAACGATAATTTTATCAAATTGTTCATATAGAAAAATTATTTTAGATCAATTATCAAATTTACACTGATATGATTAGTAAATTTTAAAAACTTTAAACGCTAAATTAAAATGAAGTTTTAAAATTTTGCGTTCTAACAAATATTTTAGTTTTAACCATTTTTTAAATGAAAAATACACATAAATAAAAAAATATCTTATTTTTCGGTTTTAACATCAGTACGTATCAAAAAAGAAAAAGATATAATTAGAAAGCTATTATATGGATTTAATCTTGTCAAATAGGGAAATGTTTAAAAGATTTAACATAAATATATGTATTTATTACATCTTTATTAGAGAAATAAATATAACAGTAAACAGAAATGAATAAAGTGATGCGATTTTCTTATCTAGAAGGAGGGAGGTTTGATTTCTTAATATAAATATTATCACAAATCAATAGAAAAGATTCTTTTTAAGTCATGTAAATCTTTAATGTTGGTCTAAATTTAAATTAGGATTTATTTAAAGTATTTATGATACTGCTTACTTTTAAATAGTAATTTTACAATGTTTTACTTAAATCTATTCTTTTTTGGTTTTACGTTTTATAAAACACATTCTGTAGCAAGATCTTATAAACTTGTAACTTATGTACATAATTGATACTAATGCAGATAATCCGAAAGCAAGCAGATCCAAGTTCCAGGCTTGATAGAAGGAGAGATTCATGGAAAGTGGTTTAAAAAAGTCCAGTCTTTTATTCCTTCAAAAATCCGTCACTATAGTTATTGACGATTCATTTTTATTATTGTTGTGTTCAAGTTTTGATTAGAATGTGTATATACATTTGAAAGTCTTCTTATTTAGTTCATTTAACACTTAAATTGTGCCAATGTTTTTGTGAATGAAATTGAAAAACAAAATATGCTAAGCTACATGCATTTGCAGTTAAAATATGAGCGCAGATTCAGCTCTTGGCTGCAACTAACAGCTAGAGAAGGTGCTTCTCTAAGTATCCAGTGATACAAGTTGAGAGAGTGAACATGACACACCCAAGTTAAACACATGAAAGATGATTCAGGTATCACCATGGAAAGTACTGTCTGAGAGGAATCTAACAAAGTTTAAGAGTTCGTTGCCTATACAAAGAAATGGATGATATATCTCTGCAACCTGTTACCTGATGGTGTAATCCTTTGATATTTCAAATTTAGTTTTTGTAATCTAACAGAATTCATAGATTTAATTATCTAAGGTCTACTACATGAGGCTGTAAAGATATGGAGATTTGAAAATCAGAATTTGTAGCAAAGACTCAATTCCTTTCTTTCTTCTAAAACAAGTGAAACTACTTCTTAGATTCACAGTTTGTCTTAAAATAAATAAGGAAACCAGATCGAGAGAACGCCAGGGTTGCCAACCCAAAATCCTTCAAATACCTATCCCAATCAAATACTGGAGAATCCTGTCTATCAAAAAGCACCTAAATGGAATACCCTTTTAAACCAAAATGATTTTTATAAACAATGCCTAGATGGGTATCACAAGTATTGTGTAGATGTGCCAATTCTGTAAAGAAATGTAGCTGAGAATATTTTCTTTTTTAATCACAGAATTGGATTACTAAAGAAACTTTAGAATTGAAGTTAAGATTATTTTTGAGTTTTACAAATTTACATGTCTTAAAGTCTGGAGTGATGTGCCTGAGTGCAAACTCAACCCACCAGGCAGCTTTCCTCACTGGGGTCTCTTCAACATCTTTAAACAGGCGGCTTGTCATCTGCATAGCTTTTGACATCTCACTTAAAAATCAAATCTTACAATCTTATTCTTTACTCAACATTTAGGCCCCATGCTGCAATTAAGCTTAGTTTGCCTTGTTAAAGAAAATATTAACAAAAGTAAGATTCTACTACAGGTTTGCTTGATAAATGTGAATCACCCCAACAAATAAATAAAACAAATATAATGATCTGCAAAGAGTCGTTTAACTACAAATATTAAATCAGTGATTCAGGATTTGTTCATGTTGATCAACACTACAGAAAAGAAGTTATATCGACGGTGGGTACTTCAGCAACTTTACTCTAATTTATTCTTTAAATCCAGTCCATACAGGATTAAAAAATATGTAAAACCTGTCAGTCATTGCTTTTTTTATTGCAGAGGTCATTTCTTCTGAATTGAGAGTATCCCAGTCAAGCATGACTCCGATATTCTTCTTCTTCATGTTTAACAGATTTGGATACTAAATTAAATTATATATAGGAGCAAAAGTAATGAACTCTTAAGCAAATAAACCAAAGATAATAGACCATTAAAACATAAATCATTTAAAAAAAGAAGAATTCTGAAAGTGGTTGATTACACATTCCTGAAAACTCTGGTGTATTTTAAGTACATCACCAGCTTGTAAGCAGCCAGACCAGGTTGTACCAAGGTAATTTAAGGCCATAAGAGAATGTTGTACTCAGAATACACCAAATTCGGTGGCTGTACAATTGTACATTAGTTGTTTGTAAACTAACAAAACCAAACTGGAATTGAACCGAAACATGGCATTGAACCTAGTATTCAAACCTTAGTCACAGTCCATAGTTAAATAGAGTAACCATCCCCCCCCCCCCTCCCTCCCTGCTGAGGATGGGTATAGAGCATGATTTGAAAATTCTTCAGGAGAAATCAACCCAAACCTGGCCCCCCCCCCCCTCTCCTGCTCCAGCTGCCTTATTTAGTGTTGCACCATACAGGGGCTGACCAGCTAGCTGGCCCCAGGACTAAGAAATGGCGGGATCTGGGTTTAAAACACAGAGAGGGAAGGAGAAAGAAGCCAGTTGTGTTTCAGTCCTCAGAGAGTATAGGATGAAGTAGTTTGCCAACTTCCCATAGTGCAGTTGTAGGATGATCAATCCACTGGAAACTGCTGGGTTGGAACGGAGCTGTAGGAAAAACCAGATTACTCTGGTTAAGGACGAGACGTGTAAAGATAAAATGGAGCTTGTGAAATTAATTCATTATTATAGAGTATTTATCAAACACCCTCTCCTCCTCTGATGTCTTAAAATAATCCTCACCTGATCATTTGCAAGTGGAATTCCAACAACAATTGTCTCATGATAAATAGCTTCCATGACACTAAGAAGTCCACCATGAGTCACAAATACCTGAATTCAATTCAGGGGTGACCAATTAATTTTCTTTTATTAAACAAAATATCTTTAAACCTTTAGATTTGGATGTGCCAGTAAATCCTGTTGTGGAAGCCAGTCTTTGATTAGAACATTTTTCGGGACATCTTCTGCAACATCAGTGTCCCATTTCCAGATAACTGGCATATTTATGTTTTCAAACACTTTCAGGAACACCTTAATTCAATTTGTTTCAATGAGGCATGAATTGTTTGTATTCTCTAGTTTTGATTTAAAAACGAACCTGACGTTTCTCTTCTGACATTGAGCTTGGTGTGATCGAAGAACCAAAGGAAACCAAAACTACCCCTAAAATATGTTTTTTAAAAATATCAATTAGCTTATTATTTCAAATTTATTCTTGATATTTAAAATGCCTCTAATAAATGATTTAAAGAATTGTGATCAATGCATATCTTTGTATTCTGCTTGTCTGTAAGATTAAAAGCTTAATATTTTTATTGCTACATTCCTATGTTGGAATTTCTGAACTAGGGTTTCCAATGCCGCAAGTGAATTTTACTTGCGCACAACTGCAGGCCTTGTAATTTCCATGCAATTCTACACAATTCTGCACAATTCTGAGAACAGTTGCGCACAATTTCAAAAAGTTGCATGGAATTCCATGCAACGGAATTCCCATTGAAAACCCTATACAGAACTAATAAATAACCTTGAGGAGACGAGTCCATGAATGCTTGAAGATCTGCTGGAAGAGGTTTAGTTGCCTTTATATGCAATCCTCCAACTTGTATAACATTCTCAAGAAATGGCTGAGGTTCATGTGTCACCACATGACTGTTTGACAGAACTAATAAAGATCTCTTTTTTAAACTGTGTCTTGGGCTCTCTCCGGTATAGTTTAGTTGCATTCTAAGTTCATGCAGTATTAGGTGACTATTGAAGAATTCTGTAAAACAGTCCCATAATAACATCACCAGCAGATTCTTCATACGGACACTTCACATATTAATACATCAGACCAAAAAATATCAAAGTCTACTATAAAAATCAGGTCATCTAGTAAATCAATGCTTTTATTTGCAATATTCAAGAACTTTATTTTTATGGCACACTGATTGGGTATCAGTAAAAACTTTTAAGAATAATTAATAATTATCCAGCCAGTTTTTGTTCTATGTATTTAAAAGCATTTATAGACACTTAAGAGACTATAAGCATACATAATTTTACCATCCATGTAAAGACGGCAAAGCCTGATTTACAACAGTAACCTTGAAACCTTATTCTGTTAGAAAATGTGGAAGTTACCCTTTTTTTCTGTGAGTTTCCCTATTGCTTCTTATAAGCAAGAAATGTGCAAGTCACTTTTGCAGAGAAACCGCAATAAAAAGGGTAAAGCAAAGAACAGGCTCTCTGTTTTCTAGAGAGAGAGTCTGTTCTACGCCAACTACATGTAACGCCTTTGGGCTTCTGCCTCATGGTTATTGTGAACAAAACACAAATAAATCTTGAAAAGACGACATCTAGTGTCCTAGCTGGAATAAAACATGCATATCTAATTCATACTAGATCAAACCAACCTTATAAGGGTGCTGTTGTAAATTGGGCATTGCCATCTTTTCAAGGAGCGTTTGTTTCTATTGTTTTAAGGGACTGGAAGTGGGTGCAGTCCCGTAATCCAGAGAAACTAAAATCCTCATAATGGATAGTTAAAATCCTAACTCTTTACAACAGGATGAATAAATGAATTTGTAAGGCATGTTTGAAAGATAATATTCCTAATGAATGAAGGATTAGTAAACTCTACACCAAGAACAGGAGAAGAACTGGGCTGGAATGGGTTTCCAACTATAGAAGTGATGGAGTGGATGGGTCCAGGAGGACTTATGAATATTACTGGTAAATCCATTACCTCAGCAACATATGCAACATTAAAACCTAAAAAACAATCCTTTCTTCTAAAATAGATTCAGAATGTAGGTTTTAGGGACCATTGTAGAAACGGACAGAGTATTTCAAAGATGACTGAACAAACTGGATTGTTCAGAGAAATAAAAAAAAAAATCATTAACAAACGATAAGCAAACAAATTAAAAAAAAGTTGAACAAGCTATACTCTACACAAATGTAACATCTATAGTCTCATAGATAAGTCACATCATAATATTATGTTAAATTTTACAATATAAAAAGCAGAGCAAATGCCTAAATGTCACTATTTTCAGTTAAATCAATAAAACAATAATTAACCTTCTGGGAGACTGAAACGTATTTGAGCTTGGTAGCTGAATTACAAATAGAACATGGACAAATCATGAATCATCTTTTCAAGATATGTGGTTGAACCATCTCTTGGCTTAGCTCAAATTCATTAAATCAGGTCCTCGAGATTATTCTTTGAAATAATAACATTTACAATGTTACAAATATAAAAACTCAACAACTTGGCTTTTTGTCTAGTTATTTGGATAACATGTTCCTACTTGTTGATATTATGATGTCAAATTTCTGAATGATCAAATCCTGGATTGGTTGGGATTTCAGGGTTCCCATGACTGTATCAACAGCAACTGGCAGTGCCTCCCAAATCTTTCTACAATTATTCTTTATAGTAAAATAAACATCTCTGTAAGAATTAAAGATGTTAAAATATAATTATGTGAAATGAAAACAGTAGATTGATAGTTCAAAATATGTGTCATGAGAAGATTTTTAATCTGGTTTAAGCGGTTCTAGCATTGTGTTCATTTGGTTATAGGTACAAAACGTCAAAAAAACATTGAAGCTACAAAATGTCAAATATCAAAATGTTGATGATACAAAACATCAAACCATCAAAAAATTATGAAAGTGTTGTCACTTGTCAGTTCAGTTCATACAGAACACATAATTTTGCTTGTGCATTTCTTTATCATATGATTATATAAAAAATTATTAATAAAAAATGAACATAAGTTTTCTTTTTGTATTCAATTTGACTTCTAGAATTTGAATTATTAGCACTACTGAGATAAAGCAACCGTAATGCAAAATCTGGAGTACAACTTAAAGGGTACTGGAGGGGGTGCCTAAAATAATTTTACCATGCTTCACTACTTCCTTGGATACACTGCACTGGAATATAAGACTGGATGGAAATAGTAAACCCATGCATATGCAAAACCATTACATTAAACCAGTAAATCCTTGTACGGGTTTGGATCATGCCCCTATTGGACTCATGTGGGATATCTCAAGGATATTAATGCCATCTTAGAAATAAATTATTTGTCCTTTTTCAATTAAAGATTTCATCATTCAGCAACCTTGATGACTAAAATGCAAAAAGAATCTTGAAGTTGATATAGATAACAAGACTGTATTAATTTTATTTTAGTCCATTGATACTTACAAAATTCTCTTTGGGTTGAGTTTGCTACTTGTATCTTCCATGTAAAACTTGGAAATATTATTCATAAACAAGGCCTAAAAAAGATATTTTTTCAGATTCATTGTAAGAAATGACTAGCTGTAGTGTCCAGGTTTTCCCAGGTTACTAATAGTTATTCCCACAGGTTGCCTGCACTTTGTCTTAAATTATGATTTTAGCTGCCTTGCCAGTGGAATTTAAAAAAATTATAATTTTTTAACCTATGTCACCCCAAGGGTACCCATGGGTTCCCTCAAAAAATGTCAGAAAATTTGGCCAAGCTGTTTGGACAACTGTAGCAAACATATAATTGAGAGAAGATAAAAGACCTACTACAGAACGGACCTACTATGCAGTCCCAGAATTGCAGCTGGGGAAGCGCTGTGTTTAGTTATGCATCTAGTATCCTACAGGGGAAGCAAGAATTGTACATAGATTAAAACAAAACTTCATCTTCAGCTTGGTTCACTGAAAGAGGAGTTTAACCCCTCGTGGGAATACAAGCCATGCACATTGCACAAGGATACCGGTTTTTTACTCGACCAGATGTGAAGACTGGACTGCCATGGATGATACCTCTCAATAGAGCTTTCAGGGATCACAACTCCCCATTTTGCATACAGGGTGCAGTTATGGGTAAATTCCTTAATTCCCCTAACTGGGAAACAGTATAAAATGTAGGAACACAGGGAGAAATCCACCCTTCTTCCTACAAACCTCCTTATCTCTCTCCTACCTGCTCCACAACTCAATGTTAAAAGAACTATTTGAAAAGGCCTTACAGTGTAAAAACAAGAAACAAGAACCAAGAAGAAAAAATAAATTGAACAGAAAAAAGTGGAAGGGAAATCCCTTGACAGTAGAGATGGGTGCTTAGAGCAAGATAAACAAGAAAGAAGAAGAAAACTTTGAACAGGAAAAATTAGAAGGGGATTTGAGCTTTACATTATCTATTTTTTTTCACCAATAATGAATAAAGACAAATACACAGGATGGCAGACGTCCCATCCCCCCCCCCTCTTTGTCCTACTTGAGATAAAAAAACTAGAAAATGTGTAAAATGGCCCCCTCCCCCTCTCCCCCTCCAAGAAGAGCTAGGAATGCAGGAGCTGACTCGACACAGTATCATGACTGAAGCAAAATTTAAATATAAACAAGGGGAAGAGTAAACTTGCCACTCTCAATATATAGAATATAGATACAGGGCTTCAAAAAATAGTTCTACCTCTGCAATTTGGCTAGCTGCAGAAAATATCCAAAAAATTCATTTATTTTTATTTTCAAAATTAGCCATAGTGTGATTGAAGGATGGACAAGGAATGGAAGATCAAGAAAAAAGGATGAAAAACAAGAAATATAGAAGTCTCAAAATGTTTCCATCTGATATCATATTAAAATTTAAAAATATTGTAAAGTTGAATTAAAATAAATTATTAAAGTTAAAAGAGAAGATAAAAGATTACCACAGAGTCCGGTAGCAAAATTTCTGTATAGTTTTCATGTTTTATCTTGGCTGAAGCATAGTAAGCCCCGGTAACTAAACAAACAGACTGCAATTTGTAAAAAACCTAAATACCACTTTATAGAAATATATTATCTTTACAAAGTATTGTGCACAGAATGTAAAAACAAATAAAAGTAAAAACTGCAACCAAGAAATTTGACTGAAACATTAATGAATTGTTATGTTTAACTAACCAGTGTGCCCTCTATATAATAGTTCTTCTACTAATGGGAAGTAAAGGTGCAGATGACTTCTAAACATCATGGTTTTTTAAAATTTAACAAGAAATTTTCAAATAATCAAAAATGAAAAATTTGCTAGCAGAGTTCTCTGCCAATATGACTTCATCATTGCAAAAAGGACATTCTATTTCAAGACTATTGTTTTGTTAAAGTAATAAATGGATTCTGTCTAAATGGATTGAAAATTTTAGATCTAAAGATCGTGCCGCGCCCGGTGGTGCTTAAAATGCCCCGAAATGTTCTCATGCTAAATTCTCGTCGTCTTCTATTCTACCTGGTGCCTAGATCATGGAAGAAGAGAATGCGGGAACTGTTGCAGAATGTTGTATTCAGAAGAATGATCGAAAATAATAAAATATATTTCATTTTAATCTAAAAAAAATTTTCTTCTAGGAATAAATTTGCATTACAAATTTTATAAATTATATTAAAATCATATGTGTTTTCCCTTATCAGAAAATTTCTTTTCCATTTTTAACACCCCCCCCCTTCCTCAACTCCCCTCAATAAATTTCATTGCTTATAATTAAATTCATTTCTCAAAGAGATTGTTGAGCATTGTTTATTAATCATCAATCCTGCCTCTTCGAGTTCATAAAGCTACTAAGACAGTTTAACAATAATATTTAATTTTAAAAGGAACTTTGCCTACTATTAACTCTTATATTACAACATATTACAACATATAGTAGTGCAAAAATTATAGGAAAACCGCAAAACATTGCTGTGCAAGTTCCATCTAATAAAGAATGCTGTTGATACGAGTTATTTAATTTTTATATTTTATTTCTATATCTAATTCTTTGGTTTATTCTTAGTTTAGATACTTAATCATAGTTATTTTAGTCCTATTGTTTTCGTATTCTTAGTTGTCTACTCTTCTTATTCTTAGTTGCCTGGTATTCTTATTCTTAGTTGTCTAGTCTTCTTATTCTTAGTTGCCTGGTATTCTTATTCTTAGTTGTCTAGTCTTCTTATTCTTATTTGCCTAGTTTATCATTCTTAGTTGCCTGGTATTCTTAGTCTGCTTATTCTTTGTTGTGTTGGCTAGTCTTTCTTATTTTTAGTTGCCTAGTATTCTTATTCTTAGTTGTCCAGCCTTCTTATTCTTAGTTGTCTAGTCTTCTTATTCTTAGTTGGATCTAGTCTTCTTATTCTTAGTTGTCTAGTCTTCTTATTCTTAGTTGTCTAGTTTTCTTATTCTAAGTTGCCTGGTATTCTTATTCTTAGTTGTCTAGTCTTCTTATTCTTAGTTGCCTGGTATTCTTAGTCTTCTTATTCTTTGTTGTGTTGTCTAGTCTTTCTTATTTTTAGTTGTCTAGCCTTCTTATTCTTAGCTGTCTAGTCTTCTTATTCTTAGTTGGATCTAGTCTTCTTATTCTTAATTGTCTAGTCTTCTTATTCTACGTTGTCTAGTCTTCTTATTCGTAGTTGTCTAGTCTTCTTATTCTTAGTTGTCTTCTTATTCTTAGTTGTCTGGTCAGTTTATTCTTAGTTGTCTAGTTTTCTTTTTCTAAGTTGGATCTAGTCTTCTTATTCTTAGTTGTCTCGTCTTCTTATTCTTAGTTGTCTAGTCTTCTTATTCTTAGTTGTCTAGCTTTCTTATTTTTAGTTGTCTAGTCTTCTTATTCTAAGTTGACTAGTCTTCTTATTCTTAGTTGTCTCGTCTTCTTATTCTTAGTTGTCTGGTCAGTTTATTCTTAGTTGTCTAGTTTATTATTATTTGTTGTCTAGTTTTCTTATTCTTAGTTGTCTAGTCGTCTTATTCTTAGTTGTCTTCTTATTCATAGTTGTCTAGTATTCTTATTCTAAGTTGGCTAGTCTTCTAATTCTTAGTTTTCTGGTCAGTTTATTCTTTGTTGTCTAGTTTTCTTATTCATAGTTGTATAGTATTCTTATTCTTAGTTGTCTCGTCTTCTTATTCTTAGTTGGCTAGTCTTCTTATTCATAGTAGTGTAGTATTCTTATTCTAAGTTGGCTAGTCTTCTTATTCATAGTTGTATAGTATTCTTATTCTTAGTTGGTTAGTCTTCTTATTCTTAGTTGTATAGTATTCTTATTCTTAGTTGGCTAGTCTTCTTATTCTTAGTTGGCGAGTCTTCTTATTCTTAGTTGGCTAGTCTTCTTATTCTTAGTTGTCTTCTTATTCATAGTTGTATAGTATTCTTATTCTTAGTTGGCTAGTCTTCTTATTCTTAGTTGTCTATTTTTCTAATTCTTAGTTGTCTTCTTTTTCTTAGTTGTCTTTTGTTCTTATACTTAGGGTGTTTAAAAACGCTTCCTTAAACATTGTACCACTCACCATGGTTCAATTTTGGACAGTTTTGAAATCTATTGATTGATATTAATAAGAGGTATGTAGCACAAACATTAAGTATTAAGACTCAGAACAGTATAAAATATAACATTTTGGCTTGGTTTAAATTGAATTTGCCCGTATTATATCTAGAATATTATTAGGGCCTGAAAAAATGTGAGTCCTCTAACAAATCTATTAAAAAGTTATTAAAGAATGGCAAGACCTTAGTTTAGAATGCAGGAAATTACTATCCTTTCTGTTTAGTACAACAAAGCTAGGGCCACAAAAACGTTATGCCTGGTATTTTAACGGAGTTTGGTCGTAAATTCACCAATTTTAATTATCATTATATCAATATTCCAAATTATTTTGTGTAATTGTAAATCCTTGTTATAAACTATTGAAATAAAATGTGAATGCAATAATATGTTATATCACGATTCACAATAATAATATCAATTTTTCAACCAAGCCAACATGTAAAATTTAGATGTTTTGTTCTACAAATCTCTAATTGATATCAATCGATTGGAAATGTTGCATAGATTTCAAAATTGTTCAAAATTTCAAAAATAAACCATGGTGAATGCAACAATGTTTAAAAGAGTGTTTTTAGACACCCTATAATTTTATATTTTCTAATTCATAATTATATCTAAAGACTTATGTTATTTTTTCTGTTTTCAAAACCTTAAATTAGTTTGAAACACTTAATAAAATTTATTTAATCCTGTTTTTTTATTGAATACTAGAAATTCAAGGCGCTTCGCGCCCTTCTTTCTAGGCTTTTAGGGCGCTTCGCGCCCATCCTCTATTTAAATTAGGAACATGTTCGAATTGTTTACATTTCAAAACAAAGATGAAAAAAGTTTTGCGGATTTTTAAAAAAAAATTCGCGGATTTTAAAAAATTTAATTTTTTTTACAAAATTAAAAACCTCTTAAACACAAATTTTTAAAATTTCAATCATTCATAAACCTTCCATGGGGTCCCTAGATGTCCCACAAAAAATTTGGGCCCGATCGGTTCAGTTGTTTTGACGTTTATTGGATACAAACAGACAGACAAACAGACAAGCCAAATTTATATATAGATAAAAAAGATTTTTTAAATTTTAATAAATTTCTATTATGACAATTTTTCCCAACTATTGCAGTGCTTGAACCCTGATAAAGACGAACTAATTAGTATAAAATGTAGGACTGGAATAATTCAGTTTCTTATCTTTCTCCTTCACAATACTTACAAAATAAAACAATATTTTGATTGCATAATCTTGAATTTATTCATCCATCTTTTCAAATAATGAACGAACAATCTCTTAAAAAATATATTTACACAAAGTGATAATTTAATTGAAGAATAACAGCAATAATTCAAATTAATATGTTGGAAAACTTTCTTAAAGACAAACTGCAATAATATTCCGATTTTTCTTTAAAGCAAATATCCATTAGTGGCTTTCTATACAATTTTCTGATAGAAAGAGAGCTGTAAAAATTGTGCATTAATTTTCATGGCCTTTGCTTTTACATTTTTTCCTAAAATAGACATGTACATTTTACATCTATTGGGCGCTTTTTTAAGCATGGGAATTGAGAGATGACTTGAATATCGTCTTTAATTTCCGATAATTGATAAATAACATAAAGTGCATCAAAAAAGATTAAACGTCTAATGAGCTTTCCAAAATGTGGTTTACCTTCTTTGTATCTTTACGGAGATATTAAACATTTGAACAGTTTTGTTGATTTTTTATTAACTGGAATCTGGAAAAATTTCCTGATATCTCCGTCAATTGACCACATTTTGGAAACCCAGAGACTAGTAGTTTTCGGTGTTACGTGTTTTAACTGTGATAATACAAAATCATATTTACGAAATAATCCCGCTCGTAACAAAGACAATATAGAAGTCGTCATTTAATTCTCATGTTGACTGGGACACCCTGTAGTTTAAAGAAGTAATTGGCAAAATTTATAAAAGATTTTCGCAATGGAACATGATCGTGTTCATTTTCTGTTCATTTGATATAGGTCAAATAAACATATTAGTCCAAACGAACGTTAGTTCAATAGATCATTAGTTCTCTTGATATGACACCCATATTGTTACTGGGCAATCAAACATTCATGTAGATTGTTGTTACAAACGTCGTATTTAAAGATAAAAGAAATATTGATAAAGTTATTTATCAATTTCTAAATATAATTATCAATTTATAAGCATATAAATGATATGCAGTTGAAAATGCAATAAAGTACAAATAGTACAAGGTGTCCCAAGAAACATAAGAATATTGTTTTTAATGATGACTTCCAGAAATTCTTTTTAAAGGGTTATCATTGTAATATATAATTTAAAGAGACATGGTTTTTTATTCTAAAAATCTGCAAAATAATATAAAATTTTACATAGGATATAATCAAAACATAAACAAACTAATTCTAAACTCTAACAGAGGAAAACAATTCCGCTGATTACAGCTTTCCTAGTAGGCATCAACCTACTTGATTAAAAACTATATACAAAAACGTTTTCGAAATCGTCACTTAATGTTTTATCCATAGTGTCCAGAGTGTCTTCTATAAAGTAGTAATATTTGTTTGTTTGTGTTTGTGGAATGTTCTTAGCTTGGTTCTAAGTTGAGTGGGTTGATTTTTTTAGGGAAATCGTAATTTAAGATCATGCGCTGGTAAACGGCAGGAGTAACTATGAGTAAATGGGCAACGCTGGGCTCCCAAGCTAATTGATAATAAACTGCAAGTCTTATTGTTTTTCTGTTTAATCGCTACCTCTTTCTAAAGTACCCGACGTACAAATAGCACTGACCAACATAAATTAAAAAACTATTTTTTTTTGCAAGAAAGATTTTTTTGGGACAACTTGGCGTTAACAGGAAAAAAAACTACACAATCTGTAAAGATAATGATAAGGAAAGAATCTAAGAATTATTAATTTAATATCTCCTTTTTAATATGATTTATACATTGATTTAGCTACAGCTTTTTAAATGAAGGTAAAAATCGACAATAAATTAGAATTTTAAAAATAAATAAATTGTAAAAAACACCTTTTCATGTAAAAAAGATAAATGAATTTTTAAGGAAAATATTAAATTAATTTGTAAGTAAAAAAAATAATGTTTGCTCACATTCTTTACTTAATGGACATCAATATTAGTTTATATGGTTATAATTAATTTTATACGAATATTTTTATTAAAAAAACAATATACATTTATAATTTATAAAAATTTTACACAAAACACATACGAATTACAATATATCCAGATCCAAAGATATTTTTTGTTTAAAAAAAAATCAATCGTTCATTGAAAAGATAAATAAGAAGGAAAAAGTGAATATTTGTTTCTAATTCTAAAGCTCAAAACATTTTCTACAGAAAAAAATATTACGTAAGCTGACATTTTAGCATTGTTAAAAAGCAAATAGGGTTTCCAGTGTATTGAACTAACTGAGTTTGAAATGTGTTGTCACTGTGCACTAGACAGAAGGAGAAGGTAAAATTGATGCAAAAATACTGGTCCAACTTGATGGTGGCCTCGTACCTCATCTTGTTTACGCACATGTTCGAGACAATTAATTTTATCATGCTGCATGACTGCATGACTGGATGACTGTATGACTGCATGACTGCATAACTGCATGACTGCATGACTGCATGACTGCATGACTGCATGACTGCATGACTGCATGACTGCATGACTGCATGACTGCATGAACGCATGACTGTATGAATGCATGACTGCATGACTGCATGATTGCATGACTGCGTGACCGCATGGCTGCATGACCGCATGACTGCATGACTGCATTACTGCATGACTGTATGACTGTATGACTATATGACTGTATGAATGCATGATTGCATGACTGCATGACTGCATGACTGCATGACTGCATGACTGCATGACCGCATGACCGCATGACTGCATGACTGCATGACTGCATGACTGCATGACCGCATGACTGCATGACTGCATGACCGCATGACTGCATGACCGCATGTTTGCATGACTGCATTACTGCATGACTGCATGACTGTATGACTTAATGAATGCATGATTGCATGACTGCATGACTGCATGACTGCATGATTGCATGACTGCATGACCACATGGCCGCATGGCCGCATGACTGCATTACTGCATTACTGGATGACTGTATGACTGTATGAATGCATGATTGCATGAATGCATGACTGCATGACTGCATGACCGCATGACTGTATGAATGCATGACTGCATGACTGCATGACCGCATGACTGCATGACTGCATGACTGCATGACTGTATTACTGCATGACTGCATGACTGTATTACTGCATGACTGTATGACTGTATGACTGTATGAATGCATGATTGAATGACTGTATGACTGTATGAATGCATGATTGTATGACTGCATGACTGCATGATTGCATGACTGCATGTCCGCATGACTGCATGGCCGCATGACTGCGTGACTGCATTACTGGATGACTGTATGACTGTATGAATGCATGATTGCATGACTGCATGACTGCATGACTGCTGTGTTTAAAATCATAACTTAAATCTGCTTAGCGTCCTACTACTCCAAAGTACTATTGGTCTCACTGAATAAAAACGTAAAGAATTTTAAATGTTTTTTTTCTTTAAGACTATACTGCTTACAACATGAAACATTTAGTTATGAAACACTTTATGTGTAATGAGATCTAGTTATGTACATACATATATTTATACAGAATATATAGAAGCAGATTATTATGACGAGAATTAAATATATAGCAATTTTTCAATATTTAACACATATGCTTGCAAAAAATAAGGTCGGAAAGGTTCGAAAAATTGTTTTAAAAGTGTTTATTGCGAATTATTTTGGAAACACTTTTCCATACTAATCAAGAGCTGACTTCACAGAAATGAAGTTTTGCTTTGAAATCAGGGTTTTTATATCTTTTATTTGTTCCTCCAGGGCCTCCTACACTCATTTAACATTTTAATTTTTGGTTAATTTTGATTAATTTTTGTATAATTCAAAAATGTTTTTGAGATGCACTTTACATTTGGAACATTCGATGTTTTTATTAGACATGTTATCTGTACTGAAAAATTTTTTAATTGACAAAAATGTTTTCCTGGTTTTTCTTCATATACATCAGAGCCTAAAATAAATTAATAAAATTAGGTAAGAAGGTTGTTTTTGTTAGTTGGATACTCATGATCCCGATTGATGATCTCTTTATCCAATGTGGACACTTTCAAATTTGAGAATAAGTGATTGACCTCTCAACTATCCCTGCAAAGTAGGACCACTTCGGGATATTATAGAGGAATTAAAATAAACCGTAGATCTGTTTCAGATAGAGGTTGATGTTTGATCCAAAGATTCAAAAGTTCTGACTTTAGGAACCAAATTTATTAAAATTGAGCTGCGTCGCTGACCTACCTACTGCCAGATCAAATTTGAACCAGAGGATTCAAAATTAAAGAATCTGAGTTGGGAACTTTAGAATGGATAATCTTAAATCCCAACTACTTAACCCGAATATCCATTGTGGAAACTTTTGATTTTAGTCCTAAATCCACTCTTTTTCTCTCTCTTTGGATATCCGTACATTGTTTTCTCCAATGAGATTCCAGGTATATAAGTTAATAAACTGTATTGACCAATGAAAGCCTTGAAAATAAATTCTATCCCATGAGAGATATCCACAATTTCTAACAAATAAAAAATTTGTTCTCAGCCATTTTGTAAATTTATCAGTGAAGCAAAATATCTAATAATACGTTTGAGATTCTTTTTTAACCTTTTATAATTAATGTATTAATAAATAAATGGGTGAGAAATTAAATGAAGGCCCTTCCAGTCAAGAAAACCAACAAATCTGGCATTCCTAAAATCAAATTTGTTGATCTAAATAATTAATCTCGAGACTAACATAATCTCGAGATTAGCAAACAGATAGGATCAAGCTTAATCCTGATATCCACCATTCTAAAGTTCCAAGCTCTGGAAGGATTTGAATCGGTGGTTCGAATTTGAACTGGCAGTAGGATAGTTCAGCAACACCTCAAATTCATGAAATTCGGGCCCAGAATAAATTCTATTTTTTCAATGATGCAATATTTTTTGTAATTTCCCTTCTTTAAGCAAATTATAAGAAATACAAAAATAGATATTTTATCACATTGATGTTAATTTTTACAAGAAAAAAAAGCACATTTTCATATGCTTCTCAAATGTTTCATTTTTTAAATGCATTATTTTAGCCGCAATAGCATGGTTCAACTGCAACATTAATGCACAATTCTCAAGCTTACAAAATAATGAATTATATGTATATACAGACTACAGGGTTACCCATAAAAATGATACTTCAGAGACGACTGTACGGAATTTCTATTTCCTAACATTAAAGATTCTCTGCAAAGTGTAAACTTGTGTTTTTCTTTTCAAGATCATTTATAAGGCAAAAATACCATCTTTAAGACAAAGACAGAGTACTTGGAATCGTTATATTATAAGATTTACAGGTCGTCTTTACAGTCTTATTCTTTGTGGGTAAACCTGTATAAATAATAAATCAGAAATAAAAATGTAGATATTTTTTAATACTAAAATAAATACCTCCTTGATTTCGGATTGGGACTGAGTCTCCAAATTGTCTAAAACAATTTTAAAAAATGCAACTTTTTTTGACGAATTCTTTTTATTTTCCTAAGATTTTTACCTTCAGTTTTTTTGGTTTTCAGCCTTACTATCTTCTTTATAATTTCAATCATCCTCTATTTGTTAATGTTTAAAAAATATACTTTGTGAGCATTTTCTTCGTATATAATAAAACAAGACGAAAAAAGTCGTAGATTTTTCGGATTTTACCGTTGAAATATTTTGTATAGAAAAGTTTTTTTTTTTTTTTAATTTTGAGCGCAAAGAAATCATCTCTGGATCCATGTGAGGTACCACAAAAAGTGGACTTCTACAGTTTAGACGGATTGACGTTTATAGGATCCAATTAAACAAACAGCATGCAATATAAAGTAAGCAAATAGATTTAATTTAGACATTCTTTGTAAACAAAAATCAATTTTTCACTGAAAGGGTTGTAACCCTTCATACCCGAAAGTGGGAGATCCAATTTCACTTTGGTACTCATAAAAACCTGCGTCTTACCAAAAATGCGAGAGATTTCTATGATTTCTTGTTGAAATTTTTTTATTGTGAATTATGGCTTCTTCATAACATAGACTTGTGGATTTCTGCTTATAAAACAATGGAATTAATTGTCAGAATTAAACAGTTTTACTAGCTTTTATAAACGAAATATATTGATCGAATAAAATTCTAAGGACCACATTCATGGGAATCGGGCACACCCCTCGTTAAATTCAGGTTTACTTAACCCTATACCGACTGACGTCTTGTTTACCTATAATATTGGGGGGGGGGGGGATCTATATACTTTTTGTGATACAAATATATAACATTTAATACATTTTTGGAAAGCCTTTGAGGGCCATTTCAATAATCTGAAGAAAAAAATGCAAATTTGCAAAAAATCTAACTGTATATTGCGAAAGCTATTTAATCAGCAAAAAGTGTATAATAACTAAATTTGCAAAAATGTTTGCAAAATGTTTAAACCCCTATACATGTGTATTTAAGATAAACGTAAACAATAAGTGGGGGTTTTTGAACCCTGCAGGTGTATCAAAACAAAACAAAAACTAAAGGTTGGGGGGGGCACAGTGACCCCCTTCAGTCGGAATAGGGTTAAAATAACAAGGACAGATTTTAATAAACATTATTCCTCAATGATATCATGAGGGCACTCGAACTCTTCAATAATTCCTGCTTTCTGATTTGCCACGTAGATCCTTTACAAACAATTATTAGCTCACCTGTCCCTTTAATTAATAGATCCTTTACAAACAATTATTAGCTCACCTGTCCCTTTAATTAATAGATCCTTTACAAACAATTATTAGCTCACCTGTCCCTTTAATTAATAGATCCTTTACAAACAATTATTAGCTCACCTGTCCCTTTAATTAATAGATCCTTTACAAACAATTATTAGCTCACCTGTCCCTTTAATTATTCAAATTAAAGGGATTGTTCACCCAATTTAAATTTAAAAAATTGTGTTGGAATGATGATTGTTGCATTACACTGCTGACAAGACAAATCTTCATCCCTCACACTGACATAATCTACATAATCTACATAATCTACATAATCTACATAATCTTCATCCCTCAAACTGACACCGATGTCACAATAAAATTATGCCAATCTAAAATTTTCGCTGAAAATGGAAATGCTAAATTGACATTTTTAATACCTGTTTAACGGGTTTTTGTCCAAATCTACTAGATCCAGATAAACCTGAATGTTTTTTTTATAACAAAATGTAACATTAAAAGAAATTTGTTAAAAACATAAGAAATATTTAAAGCGAAAAATTGTCGATAAGGAATTTCAAATTAATGCAAATGTTATATCTTCAGGTTTGTTCAGGCACTTTTTTTAACAATATTGCAAATTACAAAATGTTTAGTGAATTTCAAAATCAAAAGAAAAAAAGGCGATGAAAAAGCGACTGCTTTCTGTATGTACGCATACAAATTTACAAACATAAACTTTAATTTGTGTTATTTATTTCCGTGTTATGGGTGCCGTCGTTTGCTGTAAATATGCTTGGGTTCCTCACAAATCTTCCTAATCCAGGACACTTCCTAATGATAAACAATATTAGGAAATTGATAATTTTTCATATTTATTTAACGAAAACAACAGATGAATTATTTTTTAATGCTGCCAGTCTCTTTTATGGCGACAAAAAAAGTCAAACTCTAAAAATAGTAATTCATCTAATATTAATTTTTAAACAATGAACAAAAAATCCAATTTCTGTAAAATATGCAGTCGTTTTTTTTTTGTTATAGAACAAAGTTACGACATCTAAACGTTATTTTGAATACAAAAATTTGATAAATTTGGGAGATTCCAAGATTTTTACTTATGATAAATTTTTAAACCTGATTGAGAGAAATGCCTTTTCTATCATGTTTAGTGTATAGTACTCCAGTACAGAACTTCGAACCTAGCGAATACTAGGCTGTCTAATGACAAAAGATTTTGTATAAAATTAAAAAAAACATTATTTAATTTTGGACGGGCTAGGCATACGAATGATCTAAAATCTAATTTTTTCTTTTTACAGTTTTTTTTTACCTCTGTGTTATCTATAATAAATTTAGTATCTAATAGTTAATTAATCAATTAAAAAATCAAATAACCTTTGAATCCTTCTCTAGTTCATGAATATCAGAAACTGCTAGACCAAGAACTAAATTCATCACGACAAGAGACATCATTACTAGGTACATGAAGAAGAAAACCTAAACAAAACATCATTACTAGGTACATAAAGAAGAAAACCTAAACATTATTACTAGGTACATGAAGAAAAAAACCTAAACAAAACATCATTACTAGGTACATGAAGAAGAAAATCTAAAAATCATTACTAGGTACATAAAGAAGAAAACCTAAACTAAACATCATTACTAGGTACATGAAGAAGAAAACCTAAACAAAACATCATTACTAGGTACATGAAGAAGAAAACCTAAACAAAACATCATTACTAGGTACATAAAGAAGAAAACCTAAACATCATTACTAGGTACATGAAGAAGAAAACCTAAACAAAACATCATTACAAGGTACATGAAGAAGAAAATCTAAACATCATTACTAGGTACATAAAGAAGAAAACCTAAACTAAACATCATTACTAGGTACATGAAGAAGAAAATCTAAACATCATTACTAGGTACATGAAGAAGAAAACCTAAACTAAACATCATTACTAGGTATATGAAGAAGAAAACCTAAACAAAACATCATTACTAGGTACATGAAGAAGAAAATCTAAACATCATTACTAGGTACATGAAGAAGAAAACCTAAACAAAATCATTACTAGGTACATGAAGAAGAAAACCTAAACAAAATATCATTACTAGGTACATGAAGAAGAAAACCTAAACAAAACATCATTACTAGGTACATAAAGAAGAAAACCTAAACAAAACATCATTAGTAGACACATGAAAAAGAAGAAAACCTAAACTTCATTACTTGGTACATAAAACAGAAAACCTTTACAAAATATAAATTGAAGAAAATATAAATTTTGAAAAAAAATCAACCCCAATGAGCTTTTATTTAATTTTGAGATAATTTTTATTCCTGCATTTTACTCTCAATTTAATAATCCTTAGAATGAAAAAATAAACGTCCTATCTCACAACAAAAATACATTTGAGAGAAAAAAATTTGTATTTAACTTTTAATTTTGAAAAGTAAAACTTCTGAATTTCATGTAATTCCAACATGTCAGTTTACCCAGTTTATGTACAAAGTAAATTAAACTGTTTAACAATGTGACATTATCGTCAGTACCCATGTTTGCCGTGTGGACGGGGCGGACCAAAACCAAACAGAATAAATTGATTAAAATATCAGGTTTTACCTGTTTATATTAAATATCATTTTGCTTCCACAACATTAATGGATACCAAGGGTAAAACATTAAGTAAAAATAATTACAAAAATAAAACAAAATATCATGAAACTTTTTTCAAAATAACATAAGATCCCAGCAAAAAATTAGGGCCAATTGGTTCAACCGATTTGAGATAGACAGAGTGCATAGTCTTTGGAGATAAATTTCAGCAGATCAATTCGTAAGTCTTTTAAAATTGTCATATGATAGATTTTTTATTTGTTAAAAATACTTATTTTACAAACAAAAAATGTTAAAGCAAATTTTTATCTTACCTTTGCCATAACTGATGAGTCTTCTGAAGCTACAAAGTTTGCCGTGAAATCAAACTCTCCCATTAGCATAGTGAATGCCTAAAATACACATTTAGTCCCATATTTATAGGTTTTTTCAAAATATGGATTTGTAGATTAGTATACAGCATGGAAGAAGAAACATTTTGTTTTTTCGTATCGAATACACAATTTTTTTTTAAATTACAAAAAAAATACTTAAATCCTTATTTGAAAACACAATAGAAATATAGAACTAAAAGTATAAGCTTGCATAATTTTACAAAAGTATTAATCACAGATAAGACCGCGCTCTTATCCAGCTGTACAATTAATCACAGATAAGACCGCACTCTTATCCAGCTGTACAATTAATCACAGATAAGACCGCGCTCTTATCCAGCTGTACAATTAATCACAGATAAGACCGCGCTCTTATCCAGCTGTACAATTAATCACAGATAAGACCGCGCTCTTATCCAGCTGTACAATTAATCAGAGATAAGACCGCGCTCTTATCCAGCTGTACAATTAATCACAGATAAGACCGCGCTCTTATCCAGCTGTACAATTAATACTGACGCACTTTATCAACGATAATTAGGACGCACCAAGGACGCGCTTCTAGGGACGCAATATTGTGAAAAATTAATTGTCAGCGTAATTTCAAGTGGCCCTTTCTGCAAATATTGCAATGCCGAACTGTCGACGGTACCCGTCAAAGCGTTTTCTAATCAAATATGTATTAGATATCAATGTGTGTGTCTTTTGAAAACTAACTATATTCAATTGTGGTTGCTCTACTTAAGTGACATATAGTGACTATCAGAATTAAACCAAAAAAAACAATGTTATCTTCCACAATAAAGTTCTGAAAAAGAATAGCTAATTTTGCCTAGTTACAGTGCCTTAAAGGACGTGCAGGATAAATGAGAACAAAAGTGTGATACCCTGTTTTAAGTCTTGGACACCAGAGCGATACTTTTTTAAATAGTACATGTGTGTATCTTGAAAAGATTAGTATCTAGTTGAATACTAGAACATTGGGTAGAAGTAACCTTGATAAGAGAGTAGTATCTAGTTGAATACTAGAACATTGGGTAGAAGTAACCTTGATAAGAGAGTAGTATCTCGTTGAATACTAGAACATTGGGTAGAAGTATGCCTTGATAAGAGCAGTATCTAGTTGAATACTAGAACATTGGGTAGAAGTATACCTTGATAAGATATTAGTATCTAGTTGAATACTAGAACATTGTGTAGAAGTATACCTTGATAAGAGCAGTATCTAGTTAAATACTATAACATTAGGTAGAAGTACGTATACCTTGATAAAAGAGTAGTATCTAGTTGAATACTAGAACATTGGGTAGAAGTATACCTTGATAAGAGCAGTATCTAGTTAAATACTAGAACATTGGGTAGAAGTATACCTTGATACGAGAGTAGTATCTAGTTAAATGCTAGAACATTGGGTTGAAGTATGCCTTGATAAGAGCAGTATCTAGTTAAATACTAGAACATTGGGTAGAAGTATACCTTGATACGAGAGTAGTATCTAGTTAAATGCTAGAACATTGGGTTGAAGTATGCCTTGATAAGAGCAGTATCTAGTTGAATACTAGAACATTGGGTAGAAGTATACCTTGATAAGAGATTAGTATCTAGTTGAATACTAGAACATTGGGTAGAAGTATACCTTGATAAGAGATTAGTATCTAGTTGAATACTAGAACATTGTGTAGAAGTATACCTTGATAAGAGCAGTATCTAGTTAAATACTATAACATTAGGTAGAAGTACGTATACCTTGATAAAAGAGTAGTATCTAGTTGAATACTAGAACATTGGGTAGAGCAGTATCTAGTTAAATACTAGAACATTGGGTAGAAGTATACCTTGATACGAGAGTAGTATCTAGTTAAATGCTAGAACATTGGGTTGAAGTATACCTTGATAAGAGCAGAATCTAGTTGACTAAATACTAGAACATTGGGTAGAAGTTTACCTTGATAAGAGCAGTATCTAGTTGACTAAATACTAGAACATTGGGTAGAAGGATATGGTAGATTAGGGCAAAGGAGAAGAAGAGAGGAAAATAGGACAAAAAGAAACTTCCAATAGAGTAGAAAACCCTAAAATAAACAAGAAAAAACAATAGAATATAGAATCAGTTTTTGAATACATGATTGTATTCAGCTTTTGATGACACAATTCATGAGTAATAATTAGTTTTGAATACAGATTATAGAATGATGATAACCAGCATTTGAAAACAGTCTACATAATTATTATCAGCTGTTGAATACAGAGAATATGACATTTATCTGCTTTGAATAAAAATTACAGATTATAATCAGCTTTTGAATTCAGATTACATGTTTATAATCAGCTTTGGAATTCAGAACTACAAAATAAACTCTTAAATACCGATAATCTTCAGCTATTAAAACCGATTACCTGACTATCATCAGCTTTTGAATACCGATTCGTGGGATTTTGGAAAGAACACTGAAGAATTAATCATTATGAAGATTTAAAGTTCGTCTTTTTATTTAATGGTTTCACATTGATTTTTGATTGAATTATTGATAGTTGAGATATTATTTTCCAACTTTAATATCTCTGCGTCATGGTTTGTCAATGTACAAATATAATGTACAATATCTACTAGTTAAATATAATGTACATATCTACTAGTTAAATATAATGTACATGTCTACTAGTTAAATATAATGTACATATCTACTAGTTAAATATAATGTATATATCTACTAGATATATATATTGAAATATTTGTATTTTAAAGGAGTCATAATTTGTGCCATAGGTCTCACTTTGTAGTGTGTAAATCCCTAATTTTTAATAATATAGTAGAAAAAAAGAAATTCAGTGCTATGCACCTATTTTCTTCTAAATTCTAATTTGATAAAAAATGATTTTTATAAAAAGAGAAGGGATTTCTGAATTAATTTTCCTAAGGGTTGAGAAGCAGGCAAGGAAAATGAGTACAGCAGACACCTCCCTGGTACAAAATTACTTTTTTTAGTTAAGATATAATCAGATTTATTCTATTTTTTGATTATCATCAAGCATGGTGGTAGAAAGTGAACTTGGAATCTTAAAAAATTAACATCTTCCAGAAAACAAAACTTATTCTTCAAAATGGATTCTTCCATTAAAAAAAAATTTCAAAATCGTCCATACGGTTAATAATTGGAAAAATCACCGCATGTACCCCCAAAATATTTTTTAAAATTTCACGTTTTATATCATCTCCTTGGAAATTTAATGTGAATTTAAATCTAAAAATAGCGATTAAAAAATTGAAAATTAAATGAGTTAGAGAGCTAGATAACTCATTAAAAACATTAAAAAGATAAAATACAGATTTTTGAACCGTTATTTGGCTATAACTTCTTTAATTTTTAATATCTTTTAAAGTAGTTTTTGGATATGAATTCTGCATAAAATTTCCAAAAAAGATATGTGTCGCATAAAATTTTCAAAATGTTTTTTTGGGCTCTTATGGTGATTTCTCTAAAATTAAATTGTCAATTTGTAACCGTGTGGACGATTTTGAAAATTTCTTTCATTAAAATATGATAGCAATCTCTAGTGGGCGGTTAGCTGATTTCTAAAAAGTCTAAAAGTTGTAGATGTGATTTTATGTTACCTTTGCACTTTTTGTTTGATTATTGTATGCAGGGCAATTCATATGTGTTTAAAAAATACAGAATTTTAACTAAATTTAGAAGGAAATCTGTGTAATGGGGAACAACAACGGATTTTGAAACTTAAATTTTGACTTAAAAGCGCTTCATATAAATAGATAAAAAACATCCAAACTATTCCACCGACATTAGATAGACTTCAATTTAACTTATGAACATCATTTAATTTTTTTCACCTTTCGCTTTTCACACTCAAATCCTTGTAGAGTAACACCCCTAGTAGACATGGCGAGCTAAAAAAAGAAATCTTAGTTTATTCTAATTGCTTTTGTTTGTCAACAATTTTATAAATATTTAATCTAGATATTATATTTTCTAATAAGCAATAATAAGCATGTTAAAAACATTACAGCATTTTGAATATGTTACAGAAAATAAAATGTCCTTTATTCCGTATTGCTTTTGGTGTTGTTCGTACGAACACATTTTTGGGGTTTACTAAACTCATCAGACATTTATTATTCACATCAGAGATCGATCGTAAATTCAAAATTTAAATTATCTTACTTACAACGCCTTAATCTTAGATTTTATCTTTTCAACTCAATTATGCTTCTTTTGTAGTAATTTCAAGAATATTCAAACATATAGATAATTGACAGAAAACTGATAAATTTTTTTGTTAGAGCTTGCAACCTTTGGATTACTTTAAAATGTAAAGAAGTCATCATGTATATATATAGTAGTAATCTCTGTTTGTTTGTTTGTATGTCTCATCATAACTCGAGAACCCCTTGACTGTATGCTTCCAAATTTTGATTGGAAACTCGGGAAACCTTTGAAATGTTCTTAGCTTGGTTTTGAGATTTTTATGGGGAAAAATAGCTAACATCGTAATTTACGACCAAGCGCGGGTAAACGGCGGGATTAACTATGAGTACCCTGAGCAACGCTGGGTTCTCAAGCTAGTATTATTATAAAACATAAGAAGGACTCACATCAAAGTGAAGAGTTTATCCGCGAACAATGTAAACTTGAGACCAATTTCTCGAAAATTCTGAAAATGAAATTTAAATAGTTTAAGTAATTTTTAGGTGACCTTCTTTTCAAAGATTTACACAGATACCTTTTAATACCTTTGTCCGAGTAACAATGAAGAAAATATCTTCGTTTTTCTATCTTTATGAAGAAAATGCTGGTAAACTTCCATCATTGTCTGTGCAGCATAAACATCAAAATTCAGATAGAAAAACTATACAGGATATCTTCATATTTTAGCCATGTACCTCTTTATAGTGGATCAATAAAATTACATTAATAGGACCCCTTCAACCTTTTTAACTTATTTTAATAGAAGTAAAAAAATGATTAGTTTTCAATTTTTAATTTAACGAATTTGAGCATAGGTATCCGAGCTGTACCTACTGGTCGATTCAAAAGCTTTTCTGTTTATCTGAAGTTTAGTTATTATCTATAGGACATGAACAAATTCTGAATCATCAATTCAAGATACCTGGTTGAACCGTCTCTATAGACCTGGCTCAAATTCATTAAATTCAAACTTCAACTTGGATGATCGCTTGCTTTCCCAAAAAAACATTAATTATTCAAAGCTAAAAATTTGATGTCCCGAGTGTATCATCTATATATACTTTGCTTGTCTGCCTGTTTATGAATTTATGAAGGTTTATGAATGATCAAAATTAAAAAAAGTTGCCTCTAACGATTTTCGATTGTCATTTAATTTTGAAAATCTACGATTTTTTTATAAAATCCGTAACCTGTTTTTCTTTTTGTTTTACAGTGTACACACAGAGAAAATGTTCACAATTGAAATAGAAGAAGCCTAGCTTCATGAAAATATGCATTATTGAGTCAGATTATTAATCCAAAAAAAATATATTTCACCTTTTTAAGTAGGGAGGCCGTTATTGTGTATATAAACATAATCAGCTGGACACCGGACACCAGGGACATGGTTACTTGGAAAAACATCAAACAGTAATACAACACGTTCCCGCTTCAATACACACAATTGGATTAAACACAAAGGAATTGAGTCTTTGTTACAAACTCGGATTTTCAAATCCCTATATCTCTGCAACTCAATGTCGTATGACATTAGATATTTCAAACTATGAACCCTGTTACATTAAATAATCAAAGTTTGAAATATCAAACATTTACATGATCATGTCTGTGGCAAAGACTCAATTCCTTTTGGGATTTTTTCTCACATACAGAAATATTCATATTTCTTAAAAAATTCTCTCCCAGAAATATTCAAATTGCTTAAAAAATTGTCTGCCCTCACTAAACTTACTAAAACAGGTACAATACTAAACAATAACTCTTCAGTATGGGTATTTATGATTGAAATATATTAATCTTATTTCATGTACAGGGTGTCCCAAAAAACATGGGAATTCAGTGACGAATTCGATATCGTCTCTGTTATGAATTAGCATTGTAATACCTAATTTCAAAAGCCATAATATTAATATGTCTGCTAGAATTCATTTTATAAAAAGGGTAAAAGACTGTAAAGATGTGTCTATAATGTCTCCGCAGGATGCACAGTGAAGACGGACAAGTTTACTATGTTTGTATACTGCAATTTACTTGTTTTACTAAGTACAACCGTATGCAGTCAAAACATAAACAAACAAATTGTGAACATAGCAGACAGAACTCTTATAGATTACAGCTTTCTCAGTAGGTATCACTATAATAATATAATAATATAATAATAATTATATTGAAAGGGAGTGTAAGCAAAAAATGAAAGGGGGTATATGCTAATCCTGAATTGAATTCGGTTTTAATAGCTTCTAATTTTACTTCTATCTGTTGCATAACAGTTAGAAACGCCTTATACCCATATATTTAAGTTTAAATATCATAAGCTTTTTTATTCCTTAAAACCTATGTACCTTTTACGACGATCCTTTGGCCGCTAGGTGTTTAATTTAGGGATTTCCCTTGGGAGAGACAATAAGAAAGCCTCTTTTCCATGGTTGGCAGTGAGATTAATGTTTTGTGTGTATTCCTGATATGACCGTTGAGAAATGAGAACTTCTCCAGGATGAAGGTGACCAGTGTGAGGGAGTACAGGAAGGACCAGGTGATGTAAACCCAGAACAGTTTCCACACACGGTTCCATTTCAGCTTCAGGAACAGCTGAACAGGCATATAGAGGGACGTGATTTAATTTAAAATCCTTGAAATGAAACAATCATTAAAAGATTTGAATATTTCATGATTTCAAAATCAAAGCAATGTTGGAAATCCGCCAACGTTACAGTTTTCGCTGTTACTTAATATTTACATTTTAACGCTTTAAATACGATTAAACAAATAAAATCTTACCTCAAAAATGGGATGGCTAAACATTTTTTCCTTCCCAGAGCAAATTAGAGATCTAAAGAGAATCATTTAATGGATACCTTGTTATTTTTATCCGGAAGCCTCATGTAACTCAACTCAAAAAATTGCAAGAGCCGAGCCCGGTGCGTAGGGATGAAGGGGGGCTGGTACCGCTGTGCACCCCTAGACATTCACCCCCCTAGCCCCCCCCTAGAGCCGAGGCAGGCTCTAATTTATTAAACAGTAAACTAACATATATATTCAGATTTTTTACTTTTCTTAACAATCGACAATGTCATGATTTGTCCATTTAATGATTATTTCTCAAATTCTTGCTTGTAATCTTGTAATCTTATTTACGATATTTTTTTCGCGGGGTGTCATTTAAAATGATTGGTAATTATGGTCAGATGACTAATAGTCAGCCTTCAGGTAGATTAATATAGATTTTAAGCTTTATTTTTTCTTAATACCGGTTTTTTTCGGGGTGCACAAAAAAAATTCGGCGCACTTACTAGGACAAACCTCCACTGCGCCCCTGAATTCCAAGCCGGTACAACATGTACATATACAAACATTTAGTCGTACTGTCCAGTCAGGCTAGCTAGTGTAGGGTCGACCCAGCACGTTATATTCAACAAATGTAGCCTATGGCAAGATGACATTGATGTATGGGCTTTGCATCCATGATTTCCTATTTTGAATTGTTCTTCACTTTTTTTTTCCAGCAATAAGTTAATTTTCGATGTTTTGGGTTTAACTTTAGATAATCAGAAAATGATTAAAAGAGCCCCGACATGAATCAGGCATACCATTGTACAATACATAAACGACATGAATCAGGCATACCATTGTAAAATACATAAACGACATGAATCAGGCATACCATTGTACAATACATAAAGGGTTTCTTTAAGGTAAAAAATATCTATTTTACATTTGATATAAACACCAATACTTGGCATGTAGATTCGATAGAATAAATCTTAAAATAGTTGTTGATATTAATCTTCATATCAACATGAATACCTGTATATTTTAGTCTCTCGTCCGTCTTCATTTGTAAAAAGAAGATCATCAAAGTAAACACGGCCCTAGAATTTCATTTATAAAATTTCTTTTAGAGTATGAATTTTGTATTTTTAACGATTAATGTTAAATTTTATTTTTTTTTAAACAGAATTTAATTTTGAAATAAAAGAATTGACTCTTAATGTCATTAAATTCCATTGATTTAACATTGAACAAAGGATGTTTACAACCATTGAACAAAGGATGTTTACAACCATTGAACAAAGGATGTTTACAACCATTGAACAAAGGATGTTTACAACCATTGAACAAAGGATGTTTACAATCATTGAAAAAAGAAACTTAAAAACATCCCTGGTTATATTCAATATGCAGATGCATAGAAGAAAAGTCCNAAATTGATATAAAACTGTGTTAAAATTATACGAAAGTTCATATATGTAAAATTTAGAAAATCTTAAACTTAAATCACGTGACCAGAACTATCACCAATGGCAGAGCAGTATACTGGTCACGTGTCTCCGCCTGTATCACATGACCACTTTACTGCACTGCCATTGGTGGAATTTCTGGTCAAGTAATACGGACAATTAAATCTATAAAAAATAGAAATAACAAATATAAAATTAGAATTGGAGTAAACGTAAATTACAATTAGCATTCTCTGGGATATCATCGTTTTCAGATTGGTTACTTACTTGCTGAATTTGATCTATCTAAACCCACTACTTTTATACAAAATTGTATATATATTAATTTTCGTATAAATTTGACAAAGTTTTATATCAATTTCTCGAGATAGGAACATCAGATATAACTTTCATGACCGGGTCGCGATCAAGAGCTAAAGTGATAAGCTTTCAGCCTATACGCACTTTCATTTTTCCTTTAACCTTATTTAAAAAAAAATAAAGTGGACATCTGTACTTTGTTTGTCTTGGTGTCTGTTTTTTTGTTTGTGTCCAATAAACGTCAACACGGCCGAACTGCCCAAATTTTGTATGGGACCTCCTTGACCCCCTTGAAGTTTAATGTGAATGCTCAATTACAATTACAAAAAGTTGCCTTCAACATTTTTGACGTTAGTAAAATTATTTTATAATTGTTTCGTCGAAGAGAAAATTGCTGAAAGATTGAGCAACAATTGAAGAAGATTGGCGTGAAGCGCCCTGAACCATTGTTTAATTAATTTAAACAAATATTTTTATATATTAATAAATTACCTTTCTAACTTTTCTTGCCTTGACTTCCTGGAGGTTCTTCAAGTATTCATTTACTTTCACCTGATGCCTGGCTTCCATGATTTTATCCAAAATATAAGTTGTTTTCACGATACATGTGGATTTGGCTACCTAAATAAACAATATTAAAGGGAGTGTTCCTAATTTTACGTGGACCCTCCCTTTAAAAGAGGATTTGCGATGATATCTTTGAAAACACCAATTTAATTAAGAATGTTGAAGATAAAACTTTTGAAATGTATTAAACTATTTTTTTTTTGACAAATATCAAAACGTGACGCATGTTTCCAAATCTATTTTCAATGGCTTATGGACTATTTAAGATTTTCAATACTTTGACCGCAGCCTTTTAACTTTACTGTATATTCTACCCTATATACCTATAAATAAAAGGTTATTCTTACAAAAATTCTTTTAAGTTGATATTTCTTAAAAGTGATCGTGTCAAAATGAGGGTTATGAAGCAAAAATTTGAAATGAGCTTAGTCGTTGAACTACCTTCCGCCTGTTCAAATTTTGAATCGACGATTCAAAGTAAAAGATTTACGAGGATTTTAATTGATGAATAGGGTTTTGAATCAGCAGTTGTAAGTTCAGCAACCTCTCCAATTAATTAATTAATTAATTAATTAATTAATTATCTAAATCCCAATGCAACCTATACCTTACAGAGCAAGGTAAGCCCTAGATCCTCTGAATCCTCCAGAGGCAGTCCATACTTCTCAAATACTTGGATTGGGCTGATATTGGAGACCTGAGTCAGATCAGCCCCCTTCTCAGCTAAAAATCTAAACACGCACAAAGTTTAAGTTTTATTTACAGGGTGTCCCACGAAACATGACAGTAGCAAGACAAATTTAAAGTTTTCTTTGAACTTAGAATTAATTTGTGACATTTGCTTTCGTCAACATACTTTCACATGTATGATTCTTGAAGCAACCGCCACACACTTCTCTTAGTTTTGGTATTTCCAAAATGTGGTCTGCCTTTTTAGATATATCGCCATGAAGTTTAACCTACCCCACTTAGAATCTTTTAACCAAACTATGAACATTCCCCTGGTTGTATTGAGTTACCAAATCAAAATTTAATAATTTAATAATCAGACAGACAAACAGACATAAAAACAAACAGATATCTGATGAAATACTGGAATGCAGAACCTAAACTTAAACGTAGTTTTAAGTGACCCTCCATTTAAAGGGACTGTAAGCGTAATTTTAAGCGACCCTCCATGCAAAGATAGAACTTCCAGATTTACAACAGCATTCTTTAAACCTTAATCTGATTTATAATATGAGAGATATCGTTGTTTTCCTAGCAGACTATTTTCTCACTATTCTTTGTAACATAAATTCAGACGCCGGTACTTATAAAGAGAAACCACAATTAAAAATGATAATTCTTTAATTTTGGACAATAATAGTGATAATAAAGTGCTTGTGCTTATCTTACAGTAAAAATAAGCGCAATTTTGTTGTCTTTATTTTCTGTTTTTACACTTTTTTATTTAATCTTGGAAAACATGTCAACTGATGTGAGAAAATGCTGTCTTCCTTGTTACATTTGACACTTGTGACGTCATGTAAAATTGGTCCATTTCTCTGTGGCTTTCTATTGTGCTTGATAATCTATTTGATCCAACATTATTCATAGTTTCAAATATATTTTAATGTCTTTGAGTAGGACATTGAGTTGAAAAGATACGGGGATTAGAAAATTAGAGTTTTTTTTTTGTTGCAAAAACTCAATTCCTTTACAGTGTATAGCAACTGAAGGTGAACCTGGTAAATGTGTATTAGATTTTAGTTCTTCTCCCATGCGATAAAACTCTAGCTGTTGCTCAGTTAGTTCTTTAGTGAATACACCATCCTAAAAATCAATTTATTATAAGATCAAACATGAAAACTTTTAAATTGGCGCAATTAGTTAAACTGATTCAATCCTAGGTAGGAGATTAATTCAGAGGATGTTCCAAAGATATTCTTGAAAATTATTTCCCAATTTTCAAAATATATATGCCATCATTCTTAAATAATAAATCAAATAGTACAAATGTGAAATGGCGAATTCACTGTTTTGAAAGGTTCACAAAAGCTCCAAGAAACTCTCGAACAAAATTTTCCCAAGATTTTTTCTTGATTTATTCAAAAATTCATTTTAAGTTTCTTTGCTATACAAAATTTGGCGGAATCACATATGTTTCAAGATTTCCCGAAAAAGTTTTAATAATTTCCCAAATATTTATGTAAAATTTACCAAACCAAATCTTATTGTAGAAGTTTGAGAATTTTTCATATTTTTATCAAAATTCAAAATGTCAAAGGTCTACGAATTCGGTTTGAAAAGATAGTTGTCAGTGTCAAGAACTCAGTTTCTTTAAAGGGACTGTAAAGGAAAAATGAAAGGGGGTATTGGCTAATATATATAAGCTATATGTATAAGCTAATCGTTTTAGCTCTTGATCGCGACCCATGAAAGTTTTATCTTATGTTCCTGTCTCGAGAAATTGATATAAAACTGTGCTAAAATTATACGAAAATTCATATATGTAAAATTTTGAAAATCTGAAACTTAAATCACGTGACCAGAACTATCACCAATTGCAGAGCAGTATACTGGTCACGTGTCTCCGCCTGTATCACATGACCACTTTACTGCACTGCCATTGGTGGAATTTCTGGTCAAGTAATACGGACAATTAAATCTATAAAAAATAGAAATAACAAATATAAAATTAGAATTGGAGTAAACGTAAATTACAATTAGCATTCTCTGGGATATCATCGTTTTCAGATTGGTTACTTACTTGCTGAATTTGATCTATCTAAACCCACTACTTTTATACAAAATTGTATATATATTAATTTTCGTATAAATTTGACAAAGTTTTATATCAATTTCTCGAGATAGGAACATCAGATATAACTTTCATGGGTTG